TACAGTTGATTTTTTATTTTACATTTAGCAAGTTTAAATGAATAAAATTATAGAGTTTCATAAACGCTGGAGAATTAAAAAGTCTTTTTTGAAAACCACAGAATGTTATAATATATTTATCGTAACTTTTATAATTTTGAACCAGAATTAATTTAATGATTTCATAGAATTTTTTATTAAAATTTTTAATAATAATAATTAAATTATTTCGAGGAATTTAATTAAAATTGCCTTCAAAATAATCTCATTCTTGTACAGAATTTTATGAAAATTTGTTTAAATAATTGAGTTTTTTGGAGAATTTTTATTAAAATTTTTGAAATAATTGAATTTCTTCGAAACAAATTTATTATTTATGAACATAATTGAATTCTTGCGAAGAATTTTGGAATTTATAAAAATAATTGAATTGTTTCGAAGAATTTTATTAAAATTTTTTAAAATAATTATAAATGTTGTTAAGAAATTTTATTAAAATTGAATTCGAATAATTGAAGTCCTCTACAAAGAATTTTATTATTTATGAAGACAATTAAATTTGTGCGAAGAATTTTATTATCTATGAAAATAATGAAACTTCTGTAAAGAATTTCATTATTTATGAAAATAATTGATTTCTTGCAAAGAATTTTATTAACATTTTTTAAAATAATTGATTTTCGGCAAAGAATTTTATTATTTATAAAAATAATTGAATTCTTGCTAAGAATTTTATTAAAATTTATGAAAATAATGAAATTTCATCAAAGAATTTTTTTATTTATGAAGATAATTAAATTTTTACGAAGAATTTTATTAAAATTTATGAAAATAATGAAATTTCTGCAAAGAATTTCATTATTTATGAAAATAATTGATTTCTTGTCAAGAATTTTTTTAAAAAATTTTTTAAATAATTGAATTTCTGCGAAGAATTTTATTTGGTAAGATAATTGAATTATTGTCAAGAATATTATTCAATTTTTTGAAAATAATTCAATTCCTGAGAAGAATTTTGTTATTTATGAAAATAATTGAACTTGTTCCAATAATCTCATTAAAATTCTTAAAAATAATTGATTTTCGAGAAAATATTTATTTCTAAAGATAATTGAAATTTTGACGAGAATTTTATTAAAATTTTTTAAATTAATTGATTTTTGGCAAAAAATGTTATTATTTATAAAGATATTTGATTTCTTGTCAAGAATTTTATGAAAAATATTTTTAAATAATTGAATTTCTGCGAAGAATTTTATTTGTTAAGATTATTGAATTCTTGTCAAGAATATTATTTAATTTTTTGAAAATAATTCAATTCCTGCGAAGAATTTTTTTATTTATAAAAATAATTGAATTTTTGCGAAGAATTTCATTACAATTTTCAAAAATAATTGAATTTCGGCTAATAATTTTATGGGTATGTAAATATTTCATTTTTTGCTAAGAATTTGATTAAAATTCTTTAAAATAATTGAATGTCGGTTAAGAATTTAATTATTTATGTAGATAATTGTATTCCTTTCAAGAATGTTATTCAATTTTTTGAAAGTAATACAATAATTGCTGCTAAGAATTTTGTTATTTATGAAAATAATTGGAAAAAAATTAATTAATTAGTTAATTATATTTATAATTTTTTGTCATCTTCTTGTCAACCATTTTTAAAAAATAATTAATTTGATTATTAAAATGTCTCAAATCCAGACTTATGGCATCATTTTGATCCACTTTAGTATCAATTTGATACTTTCAAAAAAACGGTGAATTAAAAATCATAAGTTCCAAAAATTTTTTCAATTTAAATCATATATTCAGAAAATTTTCCATCTGGAAAGTGAAAATAATTTCACTATGATACACACAAATCAAGTTGAAGAATTTAGCATATATGAATTTAGAATTCATACAACGAACAGGTATAAATAATATAAACATATATAAATATGACCCCGTCAAGCCTAATTCCCAAATGGAGAAAATTGCGAAATATATTCAAATGAGAAAGTAAAATAATATCATTTAATGTAAGTCTCCAGTGGCATAAGGATTCACGAAACAAAATACAAAGTCACATATATAGAATTGTATGTAGACGGCATTTTAGCCCCCATGAGATTGAGTGAATTCCAACTGTCGCTTTACGCACATGACTTGCATTCCCGTTGGGAATAAAAACTCAGCGCGCAACTCGGTCGTACACCAATTAATTTCTTTCGTCGAATCGAGCGATACGCTTCTGGCGAAAAGAGGATCGTTTTTGAGAATATATAGGAGGTAAATGTGGAAGATGAAAAAGTCGGTGGAAAAGCTGAATCAAATCATCATTTCCACTTGCCCGGATAGTTTCGCAGGCAGCTATTCATTTCACGTAACAATGATTCCAAAATATACGCGCGAACGAACACCCACTGACCCATTCACAAATTTCATACTGAATTCTCTATTAACTGAATCTATGTATGATCAATGACCAAAGTGACTGGCATTGAGATTCTAGATATTTCAAATAAACAAAACTATTTTTTACTTTTATCCTTTCTGCTTTTTGTTTTCCGTCAATAAAAAATTTTAAATTACAATTTGTATGGAAACAATTTTTTTTCCAGAAGCGAGGGGACGATGAAAATTTAATTAAATGTGAATTTGATTGGAAAATTGTTGCATTCAATTAATCAAAAATTATTTCTTATTATTTCATTTTATTAATTTTATTCCATTACATTTTTTAAACATTTTTTTATTTCTTATTTTGTTTCTTATTATTTTCCTTTTTTATTAATTATTTATTTATATATATTTATTTATTTATATATTTATTTAAGTTTCATTATTATTCATAATAAAATTCTTAGCAGAAATTCAATTATTTTGAAGAATTGTAATGAAATTATTATAAATATTATAAATAATGAAATTCTTTGCAGAAATTTCATTATTTTCATAAATTTTAATAAAATTCATCGCAAAAATTCAATTATCTTTATAAATAATAAAATTCTTTGTCAAAAATCAATTACTTTAAAAAATTTTAATAAAATCCTTGACAAGAAATCAATTATTTTCATAAATAATGAAATTCTTCGAAGAAAATCAATTATCTTTATAAATAATAAAATTCTTCACAGGAATACAATTATTTTCTTAAATTTTAATAAAATTCTTGGCAAGAAATCAATTATTTACATAACTAATAAAATTCTTAGCCGAAATTCAATTATTTTTAAGATTTGTAATGAAATTATTTGGACAAGTTCAATTATTATTTTTATAAAAAATAAAATTCTTCGCAGGAATTGAATTATTTTCGAAAAATTTAATAATATTCTTGACAGGAAATTAATTATTATTATAAATAATAAAAGTCTTTTGCAGAAATTTCATTATTTTCATAAATTTTAAAAAAATTCTTTGCAAAAATACAATTATCTTTATAAATAATAAAATTCTTGACAAGAAATTAATTATTTTCATAAAATAATGAAATTCTTTGCCGAAAATCAATTTCACAAATTTTAATAAAATTGTTGGCAAGAAATTAATAATTTTTATAAATAATTAAATTTTTCGCAGAAATTTATTATTTTCATAAATTTAAATAAAATTCTTCGCGAAAATTCAATTATCTTCATAAATAATAAAATTCTGGATGGGAACAATTTTTTTTTCCAGAAGCGAGGGGACGATGAAAATTTAATTAAATGTGCATTCGATTGGAAAATTATTGCATTCAATTAGTCAAAATTTGTTTATTATTATTTCATTTTATTCATTTCATTACATTTTACTTCATTTTTTTATTTGTTATTTTGTTTCTTATTATTTTCCTTTTTTTATTATTTACTTCTTTCTCTCTTTCTTTATTGTTATTTATTTCTTCTTTTTTTCTTTATTTTTTCTATATTATTTTTTCTTTATTTTTTCTTTATTACTATTTATTTAAGTTTCATTATTATTCATAATATAATTAATTATTTTTATAAAATTTCTTGACATTTATAATTATTTTCAAAAATTTTAACAAATTTCTTCGAATAAATTAAATTATTTTTAAAAATTTCAATAAAATTCTTCGAATGAATTTAATTATTTTCAATACAAATTTAATAAAATTCTTCGAAACAATTTAATTATTTTTATAAATACTAAAATTCATAGTCAGAATTAAATTATTTTTTTTATATCTAAATAATAAACTTTTTCGCAGGAATTCAATTCTTTTCAAAAATGTTAATAATATTCTTGTCAAGAATTCAATTATCTTCATAAATAGTAAATTTTTTCGCAGAAATTCAGTTAAGAAATAAGTAATTACTACTTGTCATTAGTAATTGTTATTTATTTATTTATTTGAAAAATAAAAATAAATGACAACGAAAAAAAGAAGAGATTAGTTCAATTTTTTGTATTCTAACTAATTTGCATTGGATAATTCATTTTCAATTGTATAATTAATTTTCAATAGATTGAAAACGGCAATTCAAGAAAATGAAATTTTCCATCGAATTACATTTTAATTAAATGCATTTCCATATATATAGTAATATAGTAATATACAGCTCTATACAGCAATATACTAATATATATCAATATACAGAAATTAATTAATTTTTATAAAAGGAGAAATTTAAACAGAATAAAAATCAATAAACAGAGAAACTTGATTATTGATATAACAATTGAATTTGAAAAAAAAAATCATCCAAGTTCACCGATAGATTTTTTTTTCTCTTTCATTCGCGGTCTTCTTGTAGACTGCAAGAAGTTTCGAAACTAAAATCTCTTTGACTTGTTCAACTTTAGCATTAAAAAAGTTTCATAACTCAAATTGCAGATGCACGCACAGTCTTGAATATTTATTTTCATTCTGCGAAACTTTTACGAAGCAGAAAAAAAAGAAGAAATTTTTATTTAATTTTTTTATTGTTCTTAACGAATAGCATTTGGTTTATGAAAATTTTTTCTTCTTTATGCGAATAATAGAAATTTCATTTTTTTTTTCTTTTTCTCTATATTGACAGACGCTCCGGAAACTCGTTTGGAGGGAGTTCCATTCGGTCAATTGGAAGAGGGTCGAGACCAATTGGAAATCAGATGTTTAGCTGATGCCAATCCACCTGCTTCGATACTTTGGAAACGTACGAAAGGGCAAACTTTACCGGAAGTTGCTGGCATTGGCGAGGCTCTTTCCTTTTCGCCAATCTATCGAGATCACGCCGCTGTTTACATTTGCGAAGCGTCCAACACCGAAGGCGAAAGCAGTCCTGTCTCAGTTCAAATATCCGTCAATTGTAAGAAAAATTTTCATCTCAGTTTTTCAATTTTTTTTTCATTTTTTAATCAAGTTGGTGCAAAATTTTCCTCTGAAAATATAAAAAACATCTTTTAATGTAAAATAACAAGATTGTAAAGAATTAAGATTAAATTTAACTTAATTTTATCATGAAATATTCCATTCGAATTTCAAAATTTGAATTGAATTGAAATTTTAGTTCAATTACTAAATTAGATAATGGAATTAATTAATTAATTAATTAATTAATTAATTAATTAGATAATAGCTCGAACTAGGTCCTTAAATCCTGTAAAGGTCCGTAAATTTGCTTGAAGTTAGTAAAAGTCAGTTTTTTTGAAAAAGATCCGAAAAATCCGTAATTTGATTGAGAAAAGATTTTAGAGAAATTACAAAGGTTTACAAAAATTCAATTATTTTCAAAAGTAATAAAATTCTTCCCAGGAATTCAATCATGTTCAAAAATTTTTTTTAATTTCTCGTCAAAATTCCAATTATTTTCAAAAAAGTTTCCTCAATTCAATGATTTTTAATATCTACTATTTTAATAAAATTTTCCAAAAGAATTCAATTATTTTAAACAAATTTTAGATATTTCTACGAAAACCTTTCATTATTTTCATAAAATAATAAAAATTCCACAAGAATTCAATTATTTACAAATTTTTTATACATTTCTTAGCAATCATTTAATTATTTTCATAAATAATAAAATTTTTACAGGGATTTAATTATTTTCATAAAAAATAAAACTCATCGAATTTCAATTATTTTTAATAGAATTTTAATCGAATTCCTCAAAAAATGTAATTATTCTTAAAAATTTTATTAAAATTCGTCAAAAGAATTCAATTATTTAAAAATTCATTGATAACAATCTTTATAAGAATTCAATTTTAAGAAATATACAAATATTCAATAAATATTTTTTTGTATTTAATTAATTGAATTTCAGGAGAATTTTCTAATGAAAATTAATTAAAAAATGGATTTCAGTTAAAATTTTAGATTACATAATAGAATATCAAAAGCATTACAGCGTGAATTTTTAGAAATATTTGAATTTTGGAAAGGTTTCAAATTAAAATCTTTGAAAATCTGAATTTTTTATGTCTTTAACTAACAATTCTGTGAAATTAATTTTTTTTTGAGAAAGTTTAATTGAGAATTTTTTTTTTAATTATTTGAAGTTTCTAATTTCTAATTTATATTTAATTGAAGAATTTACAAATAATTGAAATTTTGTAAAATTGAATTATAAACAAATGAATTTGAAAATTTTCAAAGAACTTTTTCAAAAATTAATAAAAATAATGCATTTATAGTAGAATTTTAGTTAAAAACACGAAGAAAAAATATAATTTTGAAAAAGTTACAAATTACATTGCAGAAATTCAATTATTTTCAAGAGTAATAATATACTTCGCAAAAATTAAATATTTTTCAAAAATAATAAAATTCTTCTTAGGGATTTAATTATTTTCACAAATAATAAAACTCATCGCAGAATTACAATTATTTTTAATAGAATTTTAATCAAATTTCTCGAAAAATGTAATTATTCTTAAAAATTTTACTAAAAATCATCGAAAGAATTAAATTATTTAAAAATTTGTTGATAAAATTTTTTTGGGAATTGCATTTTAAGAAACATAATTATTCAGTAAATTTTTTTTTTGTATTTAAATAGTTGAATTCTAGTAGAATTTTCTAATAAAAATTGATTTAAAAAAGGAATTTCAGTTGAAATTTTAGATAATAATTGAATATTAAAAGCAATATAGCGTGAATTTTTAGAAATAATTGAATTTTGAAATTAATTTAATTTAATTGAAGAATTTACGAATAATTAAAATTTCGTAAAATTGAATATTATAAACAAATGGATTTGAAAATTTTCGAAAATTAAAAAATTGACTTGGACTTTTTATAATTTTGTCAGTAATTATTCCGTAAACTCCATCTGGTTCGAGCCCTGATAATAAATAATTTAATGAAGATAAAGTTAAATAATTTAACTGTAACTTTAATTATTAAATTGATTTCAATTTACATTTGATATTATTTCCTGTCCCTTTAAAATAGAACAAAGTAAAGTGGATTTGAAAAAATTTTTATAGAATTCGTTTTTTTCTTTTTTTTGAAAAATCTACGTAATGGATGAATAAAAAATTTGGAGTGAAAATAATTTGATGGTGGAAGATATTTTCATTTAGCGAAATTGAGATACATTGGTCTTGTTGTGAAAGTGCAAATTTTCCGATGAAGCTTTCAATCAATAGGAGAGCTTTTGATTGATTGCCAACACTGATTCTTGTAATCAAGTAAAGAGCATCATATATGATTTGCACTGCATAAAGCAATCATTTTCATTTTCCTGCAGACTCACCAAGAATCAGTTTAGTTGGTCCTGACAGACGGAAAACCGCTCTACTTTACTCGTCAGCTTCTTTTGAATGCAATGCAGACGCCATGCCACCTGCGGAATACCGGTAATAACATTAAAAAAAAAAGTTTTTAAAAAGAAAAATTTTCATTACGATCCAAAATTTCATTTACACAGTTTTTTTCTCTTTTTCTTAATTTTAGTTTTTAAGTCAGTTTAATTTCAATTTTATTTCTGAAAAATTATGTTAATTCACATATAGTTTATAATTGTAAATTAAAAACAAATTAATGCAGACGCAATGACGAAATTTTGAATTGTAATGCTTTTTTTTCAATTTTAACTTTTAAATTTGACAAAAATCAAAATTACTTTAAATTCAGTATTTAATAGTTTCGCTCAATTAGAAAAAATTGTCATTTATCTCAATTGAGCAAAACTGACAAGTACTGGAAGACTGAATTAAAATAATATTTAGACACAATATTTGAAATAGTTTTGAAAGAAATTAAATTTATTATGACAAATTTCAGATGGGCTCAAATATTTTCCGACGGTCGCTTACCTGTGGAATGTGGAAAAGGTCAACGTTTAATTTTAACAAACGTCACCTACGATCAACAGGGTCAATACATCTGTTTAGCCGCCAATAAGATAAACGGAAATGTCAGAGAAGTCCAAAGTGATCCAGTTTCATTGCAAGTCGTCGGCGCTCCAAAGGTAAAACTTTTCCTTTAACTTTAAATCCTTGACATCAAAAATCCTTCAAATTTTCCATTAAAAATTTTAATTTTCGAATCTAAAATCATATTTATATTTAATTTATATTTAATTATATTTTAATTTATATTTATACTGATTTATATTAAATTTATATTTAATTTGTATTTATTTATATTTATATTATTTATTAAAATAAACTAAATTAATAAAAAGTTTCCAATTGAAAAAAAATGTCTAACAAAGAAACGACTATTTCAACTGAATTTTCAAAATATTGGATACAATCCAATTTAATTAAAAAACGAAAAAAAAACCCAAAATTATAATTTTTTAACAGGTAGGAGAATTTTTAATATAGACAATCTGTATAGAAAGAGAAAAATCAAATAACTAGAATTGATGTGTCCAATTATTCGTCAGAACGAGATTTAAATTAAAAAAACAAAAATTCCCTTTTCATATACACGTTAACAATGGAGGAAAATTGAAAGTCATTATGTATAAATTCCCCAGTTGTATACAAAGAGTTGGTGAGTTTGAAATTAGAGGAAGGCAGAAATGTAAAGCAACCTGAAACTCTGATGCTGACATTGAATCGGTAAATCAGTTTAACGCAATATTAGTTTCGTGTTTGCAGGTGATGAAACCAGCGAGTACGGAGAAGTTCCTTGTGTCGACAACTGAAGGTAGTCCAGCGCGTTTGGAAATCACACTTTGTTCAAATCCCAGACCACGTCTAGTCGCCTGGGAATGGGGAAGCACGAGACTTCACGCTGGTTAGATCTCGAATTCAATATTTCACTTTTTCCTTTGAATTTCCATTTGTAAAATAAAAAATTCAATTTTTCTTGTTGTTACATTTTTCCACTGGTCGTTATTTTTCATATTTTCCAATTTTGTTTTTGGTTTCATCAATAGTCGCGTTAATCTGTAAATAAAAAAAAGGGTTAATTTTGCAGGACAATCAGTGAATGTATTTAAAATACGGACATTAGCGATCAAAAATGAAAAATTGTGGACCAATTACTGACATAAAAAATATCTTAACTTTTTCTGACACAAAAAAAATTGTGCATATCAAAAAAAATTTTTTTTTAAAATTATGTTTGGAAAATTTAATTCTTTTCGATTCGAAATTTACTCCGTTTGTAAACTAACAACAATATTTGTAAGAGAATATTTCAGTCTTAGACGAGATTTTCAGCTCCTGCTATTTTTTTCACTCCTAGTACAAGTCAAGAAAGAATATTTAAAGTTTCGAAGAAAAGTTTTTAAAGATCACAGAACCATTCAAGAGGCGTACATTCAATTTGCAAACTATAGAATATATTTTTCTTTCTCTTTTCTCTTTCATTATATCCGACAAATTTTCAATCTTCCCTAAACTTATAAATTTTCCAAAGAGAGAAATATTTTTTTTTTTTTTTTAAATTTAAAAAATTGAAAATTGACAAAAAAATGGAAATTTAAAGAAAAAAATTGTTCCTTATCGAGGAGAATATTAAATTCAATTGAAATATGTACGTGTAGGTGAGGTTCTAGAACCACGTCATCGAGCCTTTGATCTGAAACCCCTGTCTTCAGACGATTGTTACTCGGCGATTCTAGAATTGATGACTACGATTAGAGAAGATCAAAGATTATATCACGTGATTGTGGAAAATGAACGAGGAAGTGATCGTCGTGTTCTAATGTTAAGAGTAGACGAACCAGGACAGGTGAATTCTTTTCTTTCTTTAATATTTTCATTATTTTCAGTATTTTCTGTATTTTCAGTATTTTCTGTACTTTCAATATTTTCAATATATTTGAAAAAATTCTGCACGTAGAAAATATTAGGGAAAAATTTCATCAAGTTTGAAAACTAATTTTAAAATATTTTTCTCCAGATTCCCCTTGTTATTGGAGCTGTTGCTGGATTCACTGTTCTCTCAATATTAATAATGGGTTTCGTTTGTTTTATACGATCTGATAGATGTTGCGTTCCTCGAAATACCGTTCCCACTATGCAACAAGTTCATTGGTAATAAATATTAAACTAAAATTTTAACAAAAGAAATTAATATTAAAAAATTTTTTATTATTAAATATCAACTGCAATTTTTTAATAATTACAGATTCAAAATTTAAAAAATTCACTTATTGAATTTAATTATTTTCAATAAAATTTTAATAAAATTCTTCGAAACAATTCAATTATTTTTATAAATATTAAAATTCGACTCAGGAATTATTTTCAATATAATTTTTATAAAATTTCTCGAAAGGATTCAATTATTTTTAAAAATTGTAATACAATTTTTCTAAAGAATTGAATTATGAAAAGTTTTGATAATATTTTTTATAAGAATTCAATTACTTACTTTCAAAAATAATAAATTTCTTCGCATAAATTCAATTATTTTCCGTACAATTATTATAAAATTTTCTCGAAAGAATTTAGTTATTTTAAAAAATTATAATAAAATTCTGAAAAGAATTCAATTATTGCTATAAAATTTTAATAAAATCCAATAATCAAATTTTTAATTACAATTATTAATAAAAACGTTTATTTTAAAAACTTGAAAGAAATTCTTCGTAAAGTTCAATTATTTTCAAAAAACTTAACAAAATTCGTCAAAAAAAACATAAATTGTTTAAAAAAAAACTCTAAAAAAATTGGTCACAAGAATTAATTTTTCTATCGATAACTTTAATAAAAATATTATTATTAAATATTAAAAACTATAATAAATAAAAATTGTAACATTCTTTTCTAAAATACAAAATTAAATAGAGAATTTTTTTTGGTAAAAAACAAAAGTAAATGTAGTATGTTTTATAAAGTACAGAATTTAACGATACCATTTTTCATTTTAGCACGAAAGCTTCGAACGCAATGATTGAAGACCCGAGATTAACAGTGGAAACAATGGAAAGAGCTGCTCAGCAATATGTTTCGGAGAAGAGGCAAAATCATATTTTAAAGTCTATTCCGTCTCAATATCATCAAGATATTTATCAGCATGATCCACATCATCAGCAGCCTCATTACCAGAGGCATCATCATCACAGTCAATCTCATGGACCCCAATACGCCATCCAGGTTAGAGAAACTGCAAATATTCAGCTTTGAGAATTAAAAAAAAGTAGACATTCATATTATCATCAAAAGACAGAATGAAGCCTCAAAAAAAAATTTAGGCTTTTTGTCACATTTGCACCCCTGTTTTTCTCCCCCCCCCCCACCCCACCCCCTCATGCACGATGAATGTTACGAGAACATCCCTCTTACAAATTCCTTCATTAAAATACAATGGCTCTTTTCAATTTATTCCCGAAACTTTTCTTCCACCCAAAATTGAAAATTTAAAACTTAAATTTAAAAATTAAAATTAATATTTATCGAAATAATAATTTAAAGAGAAATTAACAAGTTTGTTAAAAATTGAATTTTTTGTCGTTGTTACAACTAAAAATTTAGAAGAAAAATTGAGTTATTTGTGAATTTAAAAATGATTTCCACATTCTTTCTTCGATTCGTTTTGAACCTTTTTTTGATTTTTGAAAGTCAAGAAAGGGACTTTTCTTTGCAGCCACGCATACCACGGGATTCAAGAGTAAAAGATTGACTTATAAATACTTTGCAACCAATAAGACATTCACCAACGTCTGCATTTCAAGACTCGACAGCCACGTGCATGCTATAAAGTCCAAAAACGGTTGCAGAGAAAATCATAAAGATGGATATTGAGAAGACGAACGAGAAAATTGTTCCTATAACAAAAAAAAAAAAAAAAAAAGAATACATAGTTTCTCTGCTGGAAAAGAGAGACATTTATTATGCAAGATTTTCCCAAAAAAAATTGTTTTTTAATTAATTCTTAAAGAAAGATAATATTAAAAGAAAAACTGTTGATAATTATAATAATAAAACAACTTTATCGTCTTTAAGATTTAATTAAGTGCAAGTTTACAAAAAAAAAAAATGAACAGAGTCAGTGCCTAATTCATATATAATTGACATTTAGTATCAGTTGCATGAATATTTCATAGACATCGAGATTGAAAGAAAATTTTCATTTCGTAGAATCCTAATTATTATATAGAATTAAATGAAACATTGTCTCATTTTCCATAGAGATAACATTCAGAAAAAAAAGGATTTAAAAGAAAACTTGTTGAAAATAAATCCTATCACTAGTAGTGAATCATCTCCGTAATAAATGCATTTTACACTGTTACCTGCAATGCAGTCTAGATTTGAAAAAAACAAAAAAATTGCACTCCAGCAGAAACGTAATCTTTACAAGAAAATTTTTTATCTAAATTGAAAAAGTTTTTTGAGAAAATCATAAATTTGGAAATTTGAATTTAAGACTTTGCATTTAGAATTCAAATTTCAGAAATTGAATTTAAAAAATTGAATTTCAGAAATTGAGTTTAATAATTTGATTCAAGAATTCAATTTTAAGAAGTTCAATACAACTATTCAACAATCATTAAATACGATTGTTAAACAATTATTTTATTTTGTAAATAAATTATTCAAAAAATAAAATTTTTATTAAAGTGAATAATTAAAAAATTGTTGAAAATTTGAAAAGCAAAATTTTTTAGATAAAAAGTGTTTTATCGTTTGAATCTTTATCTTCTTCTTCTTCTTTTTTGTTGTTGTGAAAATAAAATGTAAAGTGAAATTAAATTTTTTCGAAAATTGAAATTTGTAAATAAGGTAATTTTCTGAAAAAAAATTACGTGTCTGCTGTTATTTTTAATTGTAGTACGATTATATCCAACTGTACATACCTGATTGTCATGAAGTCTGTTACGTTTGCACTGCCGTTAAAAAGCACACGAAACCTTCCTCCACACCTTCATAGTTGTCTACAATGCTCTAAGATCTCTCAAAGACATCTGAAACACGAATATAATTAAAGGACATCGAAAGTTAATTAAAGTTAATTCAGAAATAATTAGATTCTCATTCTCAACTTAAAACTTGTAAATAATTTCTAAATCCAGACTTTTAACGAACAACCGTTTATGTTAATTAAAAAAGGAATAAAAAAAGAAAAGTAAAAATATTCCAATGAAATTATTATAAATGGACATATTTCACTTTATCAATATACTTTCCTTATTTTCTAGAAGTTTTAATTACGAATTTAATTCCGGCTGTGATTGTAATAAATTTTATTACGAGTAAATTATAATGAATAATTTTATATAAATTTAATAAATGATTTTAAATTATAAAAAATGATGTTTACTAATTTTTAAGAATTTTCTAAAGTTATAAAAGAACTTACACGGATGTTTTTGAGATTTCTAAAAAGTCCTAGAATGAAAAACGTTAGTTTAGATATATATATAATATTATATACTATCATGTTAAAATTGTGGGAATTGTTAGAGAGAAATTTTTTCAGAAAATAAAAAAAATTGAATTTCACGTTCCAAAACTCTTATTGTTAGTGATAATAATTGTGCAGGGGGAGCAGCTGTTTCTAAAACCTGAACGTTTAGCGACGCTGAAGCCTCACTGCAAGATCGACAAGCCACCACAATATACCACGTTTAAACCAAGCTCACGCGATTGAAGATATCTCTCTTTTTTATTATGGACACAACAATAGCAGAGCCTTTTTCAAGTCAATCTTCTGTTTTTCAAAAGGAAATTTCTTTTCAATTTTCAAGAAAAAAAAAGTATTTTATTAAATAATAAATGAATTCTTTTCAATTTTAAAGAAAAAAGTATTTTATTAAATAATAAAAAAATTTTTTTCAAAGTATTTTATTAAATAATAAAAAAAAGGAAAATTTATTTCGTTCAAAAATATTGCTTTCAAGAAATTTTATCAACACTTTCTGATTTAATATTCCAATAATTTTGTTTTAATTTCTTTTAATCAATTTAAAATTTAAATTCGCATTTTCGATTTTGAGATAGGAAACAAAAATTCGAAAATTAGAGTTAAATTCTTTTTTATATTAGAGATAGTTTTGTTTCAATGATTCTTTGATAAGAATGCCAGTGTAATTTATAAAAGTACAAAACTAGTGAATAAAGTTAAAAGAAAAGAAATCGCGATGATGAAAACGTGTCTAATTGCAAAATATGCGAAATTGTAAACAAAAAATCGTATTAAATTTCTGACTGTTTGTAAAAAAAATAAAGATCAAAAATACCAGTCAAAATTAACTTTTAGAATTTTTTCTAACGATCAAAATTTTAATGATTGTTCGATTAATATTAAATAGTTAATTATCAAATTCAATGCGAAATCAAAGAAAAAAGTGTAAATAGAGCTTGATGAAGAAAAAATGAAATATTAGTTAATTAAATTATATCTACGATATAAATATTTCTGTAAATAATTATGTACGTATCGAATGTGACGCATTAATGCGTTATTTATCACTGAGTACCGTCCAATTGCGACAAAATAAAAAAAAATTAAACTAAACTAGTAGTAATTGTTTAATTTTTTCATCTCGAAAAGAACTATCATTATTATAATAAATAGTAAATTTAAAATTAACACCTAAATCAAAAACGAATAATACACCAAAATAATTTACAGTAATCAAAGACTTCTAAATATTTTCAACTAAAGACTGATTCGAATACTAACAAAAAAAAAATTATTATACTAATTATTCGTGACAATTATTACCGATAAGAATAATTGAAATTTCCAAATTTAGTATATAAAAATTATGTCACTTTATGTAAGATATAAAGATAAAATAGAAAATTCAGGAAAGTTTCTAGAAATAATAAAATAATCAAAATAGTCATAAGTATTTAATATTCATTACCAAAAAAAAAAATTTATAGCGCATAATTCGAGATGTAAAAATACTCCTTTTTGTACGTTTCAAAATATCAATATTATCTATAATGTAAAACAAAAATACGTATTCTTGTGGCTTTTAGACGGTACTCCGATTTTCTTAAGCGAATCTCGCGTTTTCGACTGCCAAAACAAAAATGTGAAAGATTGTTCAAAAATAAAGAAACAAAAAACAGAAAAATCTATCAATGTATTAAAAGTGGATACACAGCTTGCAATTCAACAACTACGCTATGTGTATAAAACCTGAAAAAAAATACTTCCCAATGAAGAACTGTAATTATTGTATACTATAATTACATTACAAATAAAATGGTAATCAAAAATGTTTCTTAGCAATAAAGAAAACCCTGTTATTTAAGTTCAATGACTTTTATACCTTTTATTCGAAAATTAGAAAATTCAAACAAATAAGTTCCTATTCTATTTTTCTTCCCTTTTCAACTTCGTGTATAAATAATTATCAAATAGAAAAAAATACGCAAAATATAGTTTACAATTTTGTAATTCTTTACGAAAAAATATACGGAAATTAACTGATTTAATTATTATTGTACAGAAGTAAACTGAATAAATAGAAAATAAAAATAAAGAGATAGCAAAATAAATACAAAATAAATACGAAATAAATTAGAAATAATTACAAACATTGGTACACAATATTTTTATGCAAGAATTAGTAACAAATTGTAAATTATTATAAATTGTTATACGAAAAAGAAAATGACATTTCTTTCTTTTTTTTAAAAAAGTTCCTCACTCTCTTGTTTACATTATTTTTTTCTAACAAACGGACAAATATCCTTATTGAGACACTCGGTGCATTTTGGTCTTTGTGGAGTGCAAATTGTTTGACCAAAACCAACTAGAAGATGATTAACATCGGCCCATAATTCTTTGGGAAGCCATGATTCTAATCTCTTTCTTGTATCCTCGGGAGTTTTTGTCATTTTTTTCACCCAACCCAAACGATTTGCAATACGATGAACGTGAGTATCAACACCAATTCCAGAAATTTTATCCCAAGCAACTTGCATACAAATGTGTGCCATTTTAGGTCCAACTCCAGGTAATTCACATAATTTTTCAGCACTATCGGGAATATCATTATTATACTTTTCCTTCAAAATTGCTGATGTTTTCTTTAAATATTCTACTTTACGCTGTAAAGGAAACAAGTTATTTTAGTTATAGAAACATTTTTTCTACTGCAGGGGTTGCCACAAAAAATTAATTATGTTTTTCCCCGATTTCCAGACAAAATTTTGACTTTTTCCCTGACCCTAAAAAATATTCTGATTCAATCTCAAAATTATTAGATACTCAAAAAAAATGTTCTATTACTATTTACGAATTTTTTAAATTGTAAAATTATTCAAAAACATTAATAAATTCTTTTTTAAATGAATATTTAATCATTATTACTACTTCATAGAAATAAGGATTTACAAAAATTTTTTAATTCGAACCTCTTTGCAATTCAAAAACTTATAAGAATGTTATTAGAATATTAATCATTTAAATTTCCATACAATTTTTCAAAAAAAAATTAAATTATTTACAAAAATTTTAATAACATCCTTCGCAAGAATTCATTATTTTCATGAATAATAAAATATTTCAAAGAATTTCAATTATTTTTAAAACAATTTAAAATAAATTCCTCGAAAAATGTAATTATTTTCAAAATTTTTTTGCAAGAATTCAATTACATTTCACAAATACTTCATGAAATTCTTCGCTGAAATTCAAATATTTTCAAAATCTACTATTCATAAATAATAAATTTTTTCACAGGATTTCAATTATTTAAAGGAAATGTAATTAAATTCGTTGCAAGAATTCAATTATTTTCATGAATAATATTCTACACAGGATTTCAATTATTTAAAAAAAATTTAATAAAAATTCGTTGCTTGAATTCAATTATTTTCATAAATAATATTATTCTACACAGGATTTCAATTATTTTTAATCAAATTTTAAATAAATATTTCGAGAAATGTAATTATTTTAAACATTTTTATTAAAATTCTTTAAAAGAAATTAATTATCAATTATTATTTAATTTTAATAATTTTTGAAAAAGTTCTTACCATTTGAGAATTTTTAAATCCATTTATTTACAATTCAATTTTACGAAATTTCGATTATTCGAAAATCCTTTAATTAAATATTTAAAAAATAAAAACTTGAAATAATTTTTAATAAAAATTCAATTAAACTTTTTCAAAAAAATTAATTCTACAGAATTGTCAGTTAAAAGTATGAAAAATTTAAATTTTCAAAGATTTTAATTTGAAACCTTTTCAAAATTCAATTATTTCCAAAAATTCATGCTAATAATGCTTTTAATATTCTTATAAAGAATTTTATTTACAAACTAGCCAAACTATCCGCGCGCAAGCGCGCGGGAATGTTGTATGGGGCTGCTTATTTTAAACAATTTAAAAAATTTTAAAGAAATAATTATTATAACCTAACAAAGAGATTTAGCTAACTAAAATTCAAATAATTTCACTCAATGGTCTCAATTTAAATAGAATTTACATTACTAGACTTAAACTATGGCTAGAACAATTACAATTAGTATCTGGGTCATCTTTTGCATTGCTTATTCTATAAAGCCATTTTAAATTAAATACTTTTTAAAGAAATAATAATTATTACACACTGAAAAAAGTTTTACTTGAAATAGCGATAAGTTTCTCTAGAATAACGAAAGTATTAATTGAAGCACTAAATAATTTCGCTACTAAAGTGAAATCTGTACTTCATCCAGCTAAATATTTTTTGCCGTGCATAACGAAAAAAGAATTAAATTAACATCAGATTTTCTACATTAAAAAAAACGAATTCAAATAGAAATTAATCATTTTACAACTTAACCAAATTCACCCCAGAAATCACTGAATTCGATAATTTAGAAGAAAGTCAGACAAAAGCAGGGTTCCTACAGAATCTGGAAATCATGGAAATCATGGAAATGGTATGGAATTTTTAAAAGGCTTCTGGAAATCAGGGAAATCATGGAAAAGGCCTGTAATTTTTAGAAAATTCTAAATTTTTTCAGTTTTCCATTTTTTTCTTGAATAAAAATTCAAATAATAATAAAGCTAAATGGTATAAAAGAGAAAAAAAATGTTGAATTTTAAGAAATTCAATTTTTCGGATTTTTGATAATTTTTAATAATTTTTTATTTTTTTCCAAAGAGTCGAGACAATTTATTAAGACAGGTATTTTCCAAAAGCACAAAAATAATGAAGCTAAATCCCATAAAAGAGAAGAAAAAATATTGAATATTAAGAAAATCGGATTTTTGAATTTTTTCGAATTTTTGATAATTTTAGATTTTTTACCAAAGAGTCGAGACTATTAAATAAGTAAAGTAATTTCCAAAAGCACAAAAATAATGAAGCTAAATTCTATAAAAGAGAGGAAAAAATGTTGAATTTTAAGAAAATCGGATTTTTGAATTTTTGATAATTTTCGATAATTTTAGATTTTTTACCAAAGAGTCGAGACAATTTAATAAGTAAAGTATTTTCCAAAAGCACAAAAATAATGAAGCTAAATCCCATAAAAAAGAAGAAAAAATGTTGAATTTTAAGAAAATCGGATTTTTGAATTTTTTCGAATTTTTGATAATTTTAGATTTTTTACCAAAGAGTCGAGACGATTTAATAAGTAAAGTATTTTCCAAAAGCACAAAAATAATGAAGCTAAATCCCATAAAAAAGAATAAAAAATGTTGAATTTTAAGAAAAACGGATTTTTGAAATTTTTCGAATTTTTGATAATTTTAGATTTTTTACCAAAGAGTCGAGACTATTAAATAAGTAAAGTATTTTTCAAAAGCACAAAAATAATGAAGCTAAATTCTATAAAAGAGAGGAAAAAATGTTGAATTTTAAGAAAATCGGATTTTTGAATTTTTTCGAATTTTTGATAATTTTAGATTTTTTACCAAAGAGTCGAGACGATTTAATAAGTAAAGTATTTTCCAAAAGCACAAAAATAATGAAGCTAAATCCCATAAAAAAGAATAAAAAATGTTGAATTTTAAGAAAAACGGATTTTTGAAATTTTTCGAATTTTTGATAATTTTAGATTTTTTACCAACGAGTCGAGACTATTAAATAAGTAAAGTATTTTTCAAAAGCACAAAAATAATGAAGCTAAATTCTATAAAAGAGAGGAAAAAATGTTGAATTTTAAGAAAATCGGATTTTTGAATTTTTTCGAATTTTTGATAATTTTAGATTTTTTACCAAAGAGTCGAGACTATTAAATAAGTAAAGTATTTTCCAAAAGCACAAAAATAATGAAGCTAAATTCTATAAAAGAGAGGAAAAAATGATGAATTTTAAGAAAATCGGATTTTTGAATTTTTTCGAATTTTTGATAATTTTAGATTTTTTACCAAAGAGTCGAGACTATTAAATAAGTAAAGTATTTTCCAAAAGCACAAAAATAATGAAGCTAAATTCTATAAAAGAGAGGAAAAAATGATGAATTTCAAGAAAATCGGATTTTTGAATTTTTTCGAATTTTTGATAATTTTAGATTTTTTACCAAAGAGTCGAGACTATTAAATAAGTAAAGTATTTTTCAAAAGCACAAAAATAATGAAGCTAAATTCTATAAAAGAGAGGAAAAAATGTTGAATTTTAAGAAAATCGGATTTTTGAATTTTTTCGAATTTTTGATAATTTTAGATTTTTTACCAAAGAGTCGAGACTATTAAATAAGTAAAGTAATTTCCAAAAGCACAAAAATAATGAAGCTAAATTCTATAAAAGAGAGGAAAAAATGTTGAATTTTAAGAAAATCGGATTTTTGAATTTTTGATAATTTTCGATAATTTTAGATTTTTTACCAAAGAGTCGAGACAATTTAATAAGTAAAGTATTTTCCAAAAGCACAAAAATAATGAAGCTAAATCCCATAAAAAAGAAGAAAAAATGTTGAATTTTAAGAAAATCGGATTTTTGAATTTTTTCGAATTTTTGATAATTTTAGATTTTTTACCAAAGAGTCGAGACTATTAAATAAGTAAAGTATTTTTCAAAAGCACAAAAATAATGAAGCTAAATTCTATAAAAGAAAGGAAAAAATGATGAATTTTAAGAAAATCGGATTTTTGAATTTTTTCGAATTTTTGATAATTTTAGATTTTTTACCAAAGAGTCGAGACTATTAAATAAGTAAAGTATTTTCCAAAAGCACAAAAATAATGAAGCTAAATTCTATAAAAGAGAGGAAAAAATGATGAATTTTAAGAAAATCGGATTTTTGAATTTTTTCGAATTTTTGATAATTTTAGATTTTTTACCAAAGAGTCAAGACTATTAAATAAGTAAAGTATTTTCCAAAAGCACAAAAATAATGAAGCTAAATCCCATAAAAAAGAATAAAAAATGTTGAATTTTAAGAAAATCGGATTTTTGAATTTTTTCGAATTTTTGATAATTTTAGATTTTTTACCAAAGAGTCGAGACTATTAAATAAGTAAAGTATTTTCCAAAAGCACAAAAATAATGAAGCTAAATTCTATAAAAGAGAGGAAAAAATGTTGAATTTTAAGAAATTCGGATTTTTGAATTTTTGATAATTTTCGATAATTTTAGATTTTTTACCAAAGAGTCGAGACAATTTAATAAGTAAAGTATTTTCCAAAAGCACAAAAATAATGAAGCTAAATCCCATAAAAAAGAAGAAAAAATGTTGAATTTTAAGAAAAACGGATTTTTGAAATTTTTCGAATTTTTGATAATTTTAGATTTTTTACCAAAGAGTCGAGACTATTAAATAAGTAAAGTATTTTCTAAAAGCACAAAAATAATGAAGCTAAATTCTATAAAAGAGAGGAAAAAATGTTGAATTTTAAGAAAATCGGATTTTTGAATTTTTTCGAATTTTTGATAATTTTAGATTTTTTACCAAAGAGTCAAGACTATTAAATAAGTAAAGTATTTTCCAAAAGCACAAAAATAATGAAGCTAAATCCCATAAAAAAGAAGAAAAAATGTTGAATTTTAAGAAAAACGGATTTTTGAAATTTTTCGAATTTTTGATAATTTTAGATTTTTTACTAAAGATTCGAGACTATTAAATAAGTAAAGTATTTTCCAAAAGCACAAAAATAATGAAGCTAAATTCTATACAAGAGAAGAAAAAATGTTGAATTTTAAGAAAATCGGATTTTTGAATTTTTGATAATTTTCGATAATTTTAGATTTGTTACCAAAGAGTCAAGACAATTTAATAAGTAAAGTATTTTCCAAAAGCACAAAAATAATGAAGCTAAATCCCATAAAAGAGAAGAAAAAATGTTGAATTTTAAGAAATTCAATTTTTCGGATTTTTGATAATTTTTAATAATTTTTTATTTTTTTCCAAAGAGTCGAGACAATTTAATAAGAAAGGTATTTTCCAAAAGCACAAAAATAATGAAGCTAAATCCCATAAAAAAGAAGAAAAAATGTTGAATTTTAAGAAAATCGGATTTTTGAATTTTTTTGAATTTTTGATAATTTTAGATTTTTTACCAAAGACTCGAGACAATTTAATAAGTAAAGTATTTTCCAAAAGCTCAAAAATAATGAAGCTAAATCCCATAAAAAAGAAGAAAAAATGTTGAATTTTAAGAAAATCGGATTTTTGAATTTTTTCGAATTTTTGATAATTTTAGATTTTTTACCAAAGACTCGAGACAATTTAATAAGTAAAGTATTTTCCAAAAGCACAAAAATAATGAAGCTAAATCCCATAAAAAAGAAGAAAAAATGTTGAATTTTAAGAAAATCGGATTTTTGAATTTTTTCGAATTTTTGATAATTTTAGATTTTTTACCAAAGAGTCGAGACAATTTAATAAGTAAAGTATTTTCCAAAAGCACAAAAATAATGAAGCTAATTCCCATAAAAGAGAGGAAAAAATGTTGAATTTTAAGAAAATCGGATTTTTGAATTTTTTCGAATTTTTGATAATTTTAGATTTTTTACCAAAGAGTGGAGACAATTTAATAAGTAAAGTATTTTCCACATTAAAAAGTTTGACATTAAAAAATATATAAAAAATGCCAATACTTAACCCACAAAATTAAATTTTCAAAACAAACAAATGAATGCAGATAATTTGCTAACGGAAAGGAAACTTACGATTATTATAATGTATGTATATGTATATTTCTATTTTCTATCAGGCTGCGTCTACAATAGAAAAAAATAATGTGTAATTTGTAGTGTAATGTGTATTGTTTTTGGCATTGACAACTGTCAGGGGCAATTACACTATATATTACACAATTTTCTACACATTATTTTTTCTGTTGTAGACGCAGCCTCAAAACGTATAAAAAACAAAAGAATAACTATAACTAACTTCAAGTGTGGACAGAGATCCGGAAATCTGGAATCACGACGATTATTATATATAATTTTTAAATTATTGAATTTTTTTGACGAATTAAAATATAATTTTTAAGAATAATTACATTTTTCGAGGAAATCAATTAAAACTGTATTAAAAATAATTTATTGAAATTCTGCAAGAAGTTTTATTATTCATGAATAAAATTGAATCTCTGTAAAAAATTTGATTTATTTATGAAAATAATTGATTTATTGCGAAGAAATTTATAAAAAATTTATAAGTAGCTGAATTCTTGTGAAATTTTTATTATTTATCAAAATAATTTATTGTTTGCTTAGAATGTTATCAAATTTTTTTTTTTGAAAAATTTTATTAAAATAGTAGATATTGAGAATCATTGAATTGACGAAAATTTTGAAAATAATTGAATATTTGCCAAGAATTTTATTAAAATTTTTGAGAATAATTTAATTTTGGAGAAGAATTTTATTAATTTTAAAGATACTTGAAATTTGGACGAGATTTTGTTTAATATTTTTGAACATAATTGAATTTCTGCGAAGAATTTTATTACTTTTGAGAATAATTGAATTTCTGCAATCATTTGTATCTTTTCCAAAATTAAATTTTTTCCAGTATTTTAATAAAAATCCCAGACTTTTCTCTGAATTCCCTGACCTGTGACAACCCTGTACTAAAAGTAGAAATCAGTAGAAATTATTAATATTTTTAGTTCTACTAAAAGTAGACAAAATATTCTATTATTTTTTAGTATTTATTTTCAATTTTAATTTATTTTTAAAAGGTAAAAAGTTTAAGTACCTTCCAAAAGCTAACGGGATAAATAAGTTTTCCAAGTTCTTCGTCAGATGCGGCAATAATTGAATCAGGAGTGCAGCCAAATTCTTTGAGTCTTTGCATTGCAGCGTGAGTAACTTGATCTTTCGTTTGGCTGCTTAACATTAATGCCAATAATGATTGATATCTAAATATCGGCTTGCTTACATTGGTGTCGGCACATTTATGACAACCCATTTCATCAACCGGTGCAGTTTCATCTTTTCTCATTTCTCTAATATTCTTCAATAAAGCTTCCCAATTTTTTGGCATCCAATTATCCTTGGAACCCTTGGAAAGAATTTCATTTTCTTCTTTTACATCTTCATCACACTGTATTTTTATCGGAGAACGTTTCTTTGACTTAGATTTAGATTGTTTCTCAACTTCAACATCTTTTACATCATCATCACATTTTATTGGAGAACGTTTCCTTGATTTAGCTTTAGAATGTTTCTCAACTTCAACATCTTTTACATCATCATCATCACATTGTATTTTTATCGGAGTACGTTTCTTTGATTTAGAATGTTTTTCATCTTCAGCATTATTGTCGAAAAATTGCGAAGTTTCTGCTGTTAAATCATCGGATTTCTCTGGAACTTTTCTCGTACGTAAAGATCGTGTTTTACTCAATGTTTCTAATTTTAATTTCTTGCTCATGTTTATTAATTTCTTTAAGAATTCAATTTTTAATTGTTTCAATCTAATTTTAATATTGTTTCTTAAAATTTTAACTGTTTTGAAAACACCCACGTGACAACTAACCTCAAAAATAATATACTCTACGGTTTATATTTAAAATAACGTTGAGATTTTCTCTCTTTCGTCTAGAGAAAATTAATATACGGTTTGCAAAGTGTTACAATTTAGCATAATTGAAAAAGTTTATTGTTATTTTATTCTTTTCAATATTTTTCAAACTTTTCACTCCTTTTAAACCATTTTTAAACGTTTTAAACAAAGTAAACAATAAACAACATGAAGTTAGGTTAGGTAAATTCGATAAAAAAAATCGGAATAGTTTCGATAGTTCGATTGTAGACAACTTCTCGCTATTGTCGTTTTTTCACAAAAATGTTGATGACGTTTGACAGCTGATAGAAAAATAGATATAAACTTAATTTAAAAATTACAAAATTAATATCCTCTAAATAGGCGCATGTAATTTTTCTATTTTAAATATGAATGAATCAACAGACTGGCAAAGCATTGAAAATGACGGTAATTTTTAAAACATAACCTAATCAATTTTTTTATATAAATGTAAATAATCAATTTTTATTCTAATTTAAAATTAAAATTTTTAATTTAGAAAATACATTTAAAAATTCAATTTTCTAGATTTTTTAAAGCAATTTTTGAGTGGCAATGAGAAACAAAATGCTACCAATCAATTACTATCTGTAGCTCAACAATTGAATAGATTGGGAGAAGGTAATTGTTACAATTATATTTTTTAACATTTTTGTTAATAACTTTTTCTATTCTGTTTTTTATCTCTATTTCTGTTTTTCTTTTTTTTTAATACCTTTCAGAAGTTTACGTAATTGTTTTTCTCTACATTTGTCTTTCTTTCTAAAATTTTTCCTTCAGATTTTGAAATTCAAATTAATTATAACGAAAATGATGATTAATAATTAATTTTCTTAATATTCATTCAATTTAATTAATTAATAACTAATTTATTTTAGTATGTTAGCAATTAATTTGTATTAATATGAATTTATATTAATTAATAAGTTAGCAATAATTTATAGCAATTAAGGTCATGTTATTCAGTGGTCACATGTTCCCATAGTAAAGTATATGGAGCACGTGACCACTAAATAACATGACCTTAATGTATATTAATATTAATTTTCATTAATTAATTAATAATTAACTTTTTCAGCTGTTAGTATTTTAGACACAGAATTGCAAAAGCAAGTTCTTGCAAATTACGACGATTTACTTTCTCAAGCGACATGGGTGGAAAAACTCGAAGGAGTATTGGCAATAATGCAGAATCACGTTCAAGTAAATTTACAATTTGCAACTATTTAATTTTAATTTTATCTAAAGAAAACAAAATTTTATAATTTGTTAAAAATTTTTTAGAGTCTTTTATCGGCAGTAGAACGTTTACGAGGAAAAGTTGTGGAACCTTTCAACAGAATAGAAACGCAAACTTTAATGCTTGCCAGACTTCACGAAACTTCGGATTTATTGCGTAAAATCGGAAGAATGCAACATTTGTCAAATCGATTAAATTCCCAAATGAGTGGCAATAACAATGGACCAGATATTGTTAAGGCTGCTAATTGCCTACACGAATTAGGTAATTCATCATTTTTTCATTTTCCCAGTTTTCAACGTTCAAGTGAAGGAATTTTTTTTCCATTTAATTATTTTCAATTTTCATTAATAAAAAGAGAAATTAAATAATTTGGACATTTTAATTCGTCGAAGATTAATTTTCCTACATTACAAGAAAAATGTTTTCTAATCTAAAAAATTCTAATTTGAAGATATCAAAATAATTGTTCATTTGAACGCGAAACTTTGGAATCTTTTTTTCCGAATTAAAAAAATTCCATAGTTAAAATTCTTTTCATTGAAAATTATCAACAGAATTATTGATGTCCGACACGGATTTAAGTAATCTAGACATCATAGCAGACGATCATAAAAATATAAAAGCTCACAAAATAAAAGTTCAAAAAATGGCCACTCACTCCTTGACAATAGGACTTCAGAATAAAGACCGAGGACAGGTGATTCTCTTCTTTTCGAAAATTTTATAAAACCAATCACAAAATGTTTAAAGTTTATGTTTTTTTTTCTCCTCAATTTCAAATAGGTAACCGTAGCAGTACAAGTGTTTGAAAATCTGGGCATTCTCGAGAGTGCAGTGAAATCGATAGAAGTTTCAGCGACTTCTGAAATTGAGGATTTCGCAAGAGAAGCTTTGGACGTGTCATTGGTTATGATTCAAGATCCAGGTAAAAGAGGTGCACCAGGAAGAGCAACGGTACCATCGCCGGGCTCCTCTGGAAATTTACGTGTCAAATTGTGGGAAAATCTGGAAAAATTATTTCAAGAATCAATATACAATCAATGCATTCAAATGGAATTGTTGCAGAGGATTTTACTTGAAAATCATTCGAAGAAATTTGACAATATGTCCGAGCCGTTTTGGACAAAAGTCACTAAAATTGTCGCCAATATTCTTGTAGAACGAGCACAAGGTGAGAATCGTAGAAAAATGATTTATTTTACTTTTATTCTAGTTCTATCTAGAAATATTTTAGATTTCTAGATTCTAGATTCTAGAAAAAATATTTAAAAATCGATGAAATTGATGAAGTTGATAAAAATGGTATTTTTGTTAAAGGATCCTCTTTTATAAAACAAGCCTTGGAAGGAGAGTATCCAAAATTTTTGAGAATATTTTTAGACTTGAGTAAGCATCTCAAAGATCGTTCTCAAGCAATAGGAACATACAGTGTAGAGTAAGATTCTTTCCGTAAACTAAATTTGAAAATAAAACATCGAAACTAAATTAATGAGATCAAATTTTGTAGAAAACCATGAGAATTATAACTATTTTTTAGAACTAATGTCCTTTTTTGTAGTCGAAACATTCTGGCACCTTTTGAGAACGCATATTTATCGCGATCCGTATCAAGACTCTTGGATCCGGTTCATACAATGTTCTCCGGAGACGGAACCCCAAGTCAAGAAGAAATTGACACCTTAATTCGAACAATAACCAGGTAATCAAGACTTTCAAAAAAAGATTTCGGAAATAAATTCTGAAGAGATAATTATCATTTATATTATCTTTATTTAAAATTTATTTCCAAAATATTAGTTTCCTTTAGAAATTAAGAAAGAAATTAGAAATTAAGTAAATTAGTACAATTAGTAAAGTAAGAAAGTAAATTTTTCTGATTTCAGTGAATTAAGTGTCTCGTTAGTGGATGAGGGTCTATCGACAATAGTATCACGAAATGTTGGCAAGGCAATAAGATTATTTTGCTTGAAATGTGAACAAAATTTAGTGACAGGTGGCGAAGCGAGTCAAGTTATTGACACAGCAACAACGGGACAGCAGACGAATGTTAATCTTGCGAATCTTTTGTTCTATTTGTCAGTACAAATGAATCGTGTAATTGCTAATTTATCGAGTAATTTATCCAGCGAAGGTGCCATTGTCATAGCAACTGCTTTAGAAGAAACGAATAATTTGTCAAAAAATATTCTCTCACCACTATTATCATCAATTAACGACGCAATTGAAAGTATCATCGTTACAATGCACGACGATCCTGAATTTCGAGAGTATGCACAAAATTCTCTATATTTCTTTCTATTCTCTTGATATTACTTTTAAATTATATTTTTACAAAGCTCATAATTATCAATTCTTACTAACCGAATATTTTTTACAATTGTCTTTTTACGATTCTTATTTTTTCGACAAATTTCCTTATTTACGAATTCAATTTTTGCGAATTTGCAAACTTCATTTTATATTGTATATTTATGAAAAAAAATTGAAAGAAAAATAATTTTCAACTCACATATTTTGCTTTTCAGGACCAGCAGTCCTTTGGGACGGGAAATTGGATCATCTCTCTACATGCGGGAACTTCAGGGATTCATTTTGCGCTCTGTGAATACTTTCCTTGCACCTTACAAAAATCAAGCAATCGTTGCCGATTGGTAAATTGTTCATTTCAAATTTATTCAAATTATTAAACTTGAATAGAAAATTAAGCGACAAAAAGTAAAAAAAATATGAGTAATACGAATATATTATATATAAAGTCCATATTATAAAAAATAGAAAAAGAAATATAACAAAAATAAGATAGAAAAAAAGAATGTGGATATTAAAAATTTAATTAATTGAAATCATTGAAATTATTGAAAGTGAAATGAAAATATTTTTGAATAAAATTGAAATTATTTGGCATTGAAAATAAAAGAAATGAATTTTATATTTTCAGTTGTAAATCTGTCGCTTCAAGGTGTATAGAATTATTCGTGAGACACGCTTGTTTATTAAGACCACTGACGGATTATGGAAGAGCAAAACTTATTGTGGACTTTACTCAGGTAATTTTTTGCAAAATAAAAAAAACAAAATATTTTCTAATAAATTCAAAAAACTCCCTTTCAATTCAATACAAATTAATTCCTTTTTTTAAATTAATTAAATCTAATTTCAACCTTAAAAATAGTAAAATAGTAAACATAATAAAAATAATAAAAACTTTTAAAATCAAAAAGTTTTAATAATCTAATTACCTTAATTAATAGAATTTGGATTGAATTAACAAATTTCAGATGGAAGTTGCAGTCGCGCCACTTTGCAGAGGAGGACAATTGGGATCTCTTGAACAGCAGCAGTACAGAATTCTTCGCGCAATGAAAACACTTCTTCCTCTCGAACCGGAAGAAATTGTCCAAAAAGTTCTTGAAGATGGTGAAAGTAGTGTTCCACCGTCACTAATTCTTTTACATCTATTTTCAGGAGCACCTTCCGATTTACCCTCTCCGCATCAGGTGAGTGAAAAAAAATTCTGCAATCATTTACAAATTTCGAACTGATAAAAAATTTTCTTTCTATATTTTTCAGAGTGCCGGTTGGTCCATTAATCGATTATCGCAATGGATGGACAATCATCCAACTGAAAAAGAACGATTAGCATTAAGTAATGGACCACTTCAACGTTATGAATTGACAATTCGACAACGAAATCTTCCAACATTCCATCCTCTATTCCCCTTGATGACAAAACTCACGAGTTTCTATGAGCGTTGAATTTTTTGAAAACTGCAATTATTGTTATGTTTCTTCCACTTTGAATATTTAAATAAAAAAAACTAATTATAAAAATTCTCTATTTATTAATATCAATAATAATAATAATCATACTTATTAACAGTAATTATCCGATTCTAAAATTCGAGAATCAGAAGATAATACACAAGTATCAAAAAATAAAACTATAATAAAGTAAAAAAATATAATTTCCAATATTTGAGAATTAAAATAAAATTATTATTAATTTTAGCCACGTGAATTCAAAAGTAAAAAGTTAATATTAAAAAAATTAACATTTTTAAAGACTTTGAAAGAAAAGAGAAAAGTGAAACTAATTTAATTAAGAAATTTAATTTTTATATTTAAAAAATTCTTAAAGTAAATCACAATAGTCTTTTCTTGTTTCTAATTCTAAAATGTGAAAATAAAGATAGTTTTTTTCTTCTTAAATTAACAAAAAATTGTTGAAAGTACTTCATTTGAGGTAGACGATATTTTTATGTGTGAATGAATTGACGTCAGCTTTATGAAAATAAAATAAAATGTAAAAATACTTCTCACTCATTCGATGCACAATTTGGAAATTTTTGACTTTGCAAAATAAATCGTTATCATTGCAAAAATACTAATGGCTATTGTCAATTTATAAGTCTTCCTCTTCTTTGCAATAAAAGTTGCTGGTAATTTAGTCACACTTTCTCTATCGATCTGAAATTAAATAAAAAATTCCTATCGTTATCGTTTTATCAATTTCAATTTCTAATTTATTTGAATTAAATTTACAATTTATTAAATTTAAATTATAAGTTAAATATTATTTAGCAAAATTTTTTCATACTTTATTCGCAAGTTGCTTCACCAGGACAAGTTCATTTTTAAGTTTCATTAATTCTTTTTCCGTTTTTTCCAATTCATCACTGTAGTCAACTTTCTGTTGTAGAGAGAGGGCCAAATTTTCCTTTTCACCTCTCATCAAATTATTCACAATAAATCGAAAACTCGATCCAACGATGTTAATTTGTCTCGCTGCGTTGCCTAAAGTCACAACGCCATCGTAAATTCTGCAAATAAAAGATCCGGTGACAATTATTAAAAACAATTTAATTCACTAAAAAGCAATTTAATTCACTAATTAAAAATAATTAAGAAATGCATTAAAAATCAAGGAAAAGAAAATTTTTTTAAATTTAAGTAAATTGAAAATTAAAAATTTGGAGAACGTACGTGTAAGGCAAATGTTTTCTAATAGCTCCCAAACTGTTCATATTCCATTTCTTTGAATGAAAACGATGAAGATCGGCAACAAATTTTTTGCGATGAATACCGATATCCATTCCCAATTTTTCCAAATCGTCTTCATTGAGTTTCAGAAAAGTATTTAAATCCATACCACGAAAAAGATCCTTATATTTATCTAAATTCATTCCATATAATATTGTCAAAATTTCGAAATTTAATTTATCCTTTTTCTTTGAAGCAAGTGCTGGAAATAGATCCTTCCATTCAAGTAAGTCAAATGTATCGATCGTGGGTGGAGAATCTTCAAATTCCTCATCTTCTAATAGAGCCGCAATCTAAAAGGAAAAATAAATTTTCACAAATTAATTTAAACAAATTAAACAAATTATTTTTTGTAATATTTAGACCTTTCATTACAAAAAATGATGTAATAACTACATAAAATTAAAATCTTAGTAATTTAAATAATAATTTACTTAATAAAAAAAATATTACTTTATCGAAGCCTTTAGTTCTCGCAATATCATAGGGAGATTCGCCAAATCGATCTTTTATGTTAATTTCTGCATTACATTGCAATAGAAGTTCGACTATTTCATATCTATTAGCTTTGACTGCAAAAAATATTGCCTAAAAAAGGAGAGAATTAAAATTTTATTTAATATAAAAATAATTCAAAATTTTTTTGACGAAAAATTCAAATATCAAACCGTTTGATTTTCACTATCGGCAGCATTAACACTTTGCATATTTCTAATAAGCTCTTTAACGAATTCGACCTCTCGCATATTACAAGCAAGCATTAAAGCTGTTTCCCTAAATTAAAAACACATCGTTATTCAAATAATTATGTTTACTGGGGCTTAAAAAGAAAAAAAAACTATACCTTCGTTTACCCGATGCGTGAGCATTTGCCTTGGCTTTTAATAAAATTTTTAAACATTCTAAACAATTCTGAGTTGTTCGTGGACAATTGCATAAAGCCATTAGGGGTGTAAATCCATCTGGAACAAATTAGTAAATTATTAATTAATGAAGTTGAAGTCGGCAAAGTCTTTAAATACAAAAACGAAAAAATAATACGACGATTTATTTTGGTTATACTAATTAATATTAATATATGTAATGTCAAATAATTTCTATTTTTATATAATTAATTAAAATTAATTTTCTCAAGTATTTAGAGATAATTTTTTTTTAATACTAACGAACCTTGGTGTAGATTTGGATTTGCTCCATTGTCCAGTAAATATTGCACAAGCTCTGTTTGTGACGCTGAAGAAGCGTATAAAAGTAGAGACCATCCGGAATGTAGAAAATCGTCAATGTGTGGACCAGCTGATAATTTTAGAAAATATTAATAAATTTGCCAAAACTTATTTACTTTGAATAATAAAGAGTTTAACCTCAGTTATTATATATGAATAATTTTCCTCTAATTTTGACTAAATCTTCTGCTAAGAAGCAATTAATTAATTAATTAATTATTAAATAATTACATGATAAATATTCCTTAATAAAAGATATGTCGCCAGACATGCAAGCATTAAAAGCTTGAAATTCATAATTATGTCTTCCTTTAACGGAATCACCGGAACCATCATCAAAATTAATTTCTCCATTTGTTTCTCTCTCGTTTGTATATTTATTGTATCTGCTATTGTTTTCCTGTGAAAATAAAATATATTTATATTAATTAATAAAGACATAAAAAACTAAAAAGTCAACCTAAAAAACAGAAAATGTATTAAAATTACGCTATTAATTTCGAAATGATGAGATAAAAATATGTTATTTTAATCATAAATTGTTTTGTCTGTTAAAATACCTCGTATATTTTTTATTTAATTAGTTTATTTTTTATTAATTGATTTTAATTATAGAAATATGAGAAATATAAATTTCGCGTGCAAAAAACATTAAGGTTATGTTTATCAAGCAAACCTCGTCGTCATGAAAAGTAAAACCATCGTCGTCTGATTCCTCATCGGACATTCCTCCCGGTCTACGATACATTTTTAAATATATTTTAATTAATTTTCCAATGTAGCTTGCTGTCAAAATTATGTATGTATATCTAAAAAATCGCTGGGATGTTTATAAACAATATCCTGCTGGCGTTATTCCAGTGTTACTTGTCAAGCCCACGTGATTACATTTTCCACATCACATTCCAATTAAACGAATTAAATATTCCAGTGCCGATTAAATTTAAAAGAACGTATTTAAATTAAAATTCAATTAAAATATAACATTAAAATATATTCTCAATCACTCAAAAACAAATCATGTTTATGTGAATAAAAATAACAATAATAATAATCAACGGCGGGAAAATTTCGTCTGCTAGATAATTAATACATTTTTCAATTATTTTCACTCGCTCCTGAAAATAAATTGTTTAGAACCACAACAATTTCAATGTATATTGTAAAATCAATTTTCGTCAACAGAAATTTATATAAGAGACATTTAATAAGATCTCGTAATAATTATGAGGCCATAGATTCGCAAACAGTTAAGGTTGAAACAAGTATTATTTTCTAAACTGTGATTTCCTTTGTCTTTAAAAACTGTGAGAAAAACAAGATATTTTTATATTTAATTCTCTATTTTTTTACTAATAAATAAAGAAATCCTTTTCTTCCAAATTAAAGGTACGTTGGACTTGTATTTTGTTAATTATAATTATAATCTTATTATCCTTTGTTCTGAATATTTGACATAACCTTTTAATCGCTTTATAATGACATTGTAACTTTTTTAAAAATTCTTTAACATGTAAAAAAGTTATTACATTAATCAGAAATTATTAAAATATATATTATGCAGAATTTCGGTTCAAATAATTAGAAAAGTTTTCCTAATTCTGTTATAAGAAAACGAAATTTCAATTTTGTTGCAATAATTTTGTTTTTACTGACATATTTTTTAATTTTAGATGACTCTACCAATTCTGGCAGCATTTGATTTCGATCATACAATTTGTGATGACAATTCAGATATCGTTGCAAGAAAATTAATATCAAACGATAAAATTCCAGATACAGTGAAACGAATGTATCAGGCCGACAATTGGAATGCGTATATGGGACAAATTTTCGAATTACTGAATAAAAATTACATTGACGTGGAAACAATAAAAGATGCCATTCACCAAATACCATCAGTGTCTGGAATCGATAGTCTCCTAAGTGAATTACATTCACGTAATTGTGAAATAATCATAATAAGTGATTCAAATTCTCTATTCATCGAATGGTGGTTGAAGAATAAAAATTTGAGTCACATGGTGAAGGAAATATTCACTAATCCCGCAACTGTTAATGGCGAACTACTCAAAATTGAAATGTATCATTTACAGGACAATTGTAAATTAAGTAGTAAAAATTTATGTAAAGGACAAATATTGGAGGATTATGTTACAAAACGATCATTAGAGGGAATCAATTTTGATCGTATCGTTTATGTTGGCGATGGAAAAAATGATCTCTGTCCTATTTTACGACTCTCTGAAAAGGATTTGGCATGTCCTAGAATCGGTTATACTCTCGTGAATATTTTAAATAAGAAAGCAGCTGAGAACGAGTCACAGGAAGTGAAAGCAAAAGTCGTTCCTTGGGAAACTGGAAACGATATTTTAAAAAATCTGAAGACTTTAGACGATCTTGATTAGGAATCAAGAAAATTATTTGTGAACAAACAAACAATTATGAACAACAAGCAAATATGAACAACAAACAATTGTGAACAACAAACAAATTATGAACAACAATATTATAAACTAGCAAATGTTACGTGCGCCGAACGTGATATTCAATTTATTTTTAAGCAAATTACAAACTTTTTTATTTTCAAATATGAATTTTTGAATAATTTCAGAATCAAACTGTAAAAAAAATTCAATTATTAACTAATTTACTAATTAATTATTCTTGTTTATTAATTTCAAAAAATTTAATAAAATTCTTCGCAAGAATTCTATTATTTTTATAAATAGTAAATTGTTTTGCAAAAGTTCAATTTCTATAATTCAATTAATTATACTTGTAATTTCTACAACTAGATTAGAATTTTTGTGCGAACAATTATGATTTCTATACTTTATTTTTTAATAATAATTATTAAATAATTTCCAAGTCTGAAAGTTTTGTTTATTTTTAACTTCTAAGGGTTCTTATTTCTAATTCCAAAGGTTTTCTCCTTTTAAAAAATATATTTAAATTAATAGGAAAAAACTAAAGCAGTGGAAAATTTAATTTGAAAACTCTAAACAAGAGTATTCAAAGGGGGGAAAAAAAGGAAAAATGAAAAAGTAAATTTGAGAAAATATTAAATTTGAAAATTCCAATATTACCGCTGTATTGCGTGCGCAACTAAAACAAAAACATAACCTGAAAATTAATCAAAATCCTAATTTGACAGTTCTTTTGGGTAAATGTTTTTTTTGTTGCCGATTTCAACAATGAAAGAAAGAAGATAATTGATTTATATTTTAAAAAGATTGAAAATCTATAATCAAAAATGCCAACAATGATAGCTTTGGACGTCTCACTTTCTATGAGACGTCCAGTACCTGGAGCAAGTTCCACTGAAAGTTTACCAAGTGAACAATTAACGAGACATCACTTAGCTGTTCAGGGTATCAATACTCTACTTAATTATTTACAAACAAATTGTAAATTAGAATTCGTCTCACTGGTAACTATCTCTATTTTATTTCAATATAAGTTTGTAAGCTAAATTACTATTTGGTTTTGTAAACAAAAAAAAAACCCGTCAACTTTTATAAACAAATAAAAACCTATTTTATTTCCGATTTAGAATAAAAATATTTTATTTCCTCTTTCGTAAAAAAACATATTTTATTTCCCATTTGGAATAAAAATATTTAATTTACTGTTTTTCTAAAAAACAATTATATTTTAAATTAAATTTAAATTAAATGTTTTCTATTTACAGGTAGTTTTTTCATCGCTGTACGAAGTAATTTGCCCTTTTACACGTGACTACGATCAAATACGATCGCAACTACAAAATATTGAGGAATGTGATAAAACTTGTATAGAAACAGCTCTACTTGGAGTCAATAGTATTATTATGTCCGAATGGGGAAACTCAACAGCGTGTCAAGTAATTTTAATAACAGACGGTAATCCCGGAGTGGGACCAATGTCCTTGGGGGATTCATTAAATTCACTGAATGTCCTGAGAGAATCAAATCCATTTCCCCTGCCGTTCCCCTATCCAGGAAAATTGACAGTTGTCTGCATTGCTGGACAACAAGGTGAAAAATCAAATCAACAAAATGTTTCTTAAAAAACGAATCTTAATTAAAAAACTATCTTTTGTGCTAGTTTGGGAAATTTTTCTTTTTATTCTAAAATATCGAGTAAAACTTCTTCTTTTCCAGATTCCAGCTTAACTACCGGTTTACCATTATATCAACGATTAATCGAATTAGCTGGAGGCGACAGCATGGTTCTATTACCCGAAGGACAATTGACAAAGACATCGGTTCATAATTGTTTTAAGAAATTAGCCGAAACGACGTACATTCCATTTCAGGGCTACTTGAAATGCGGTAATTTAGGATCGCGTGTTTTACTCTCTCCACCACCGATCGTAAGTATCGAGGAAAAATTAGAAATTAGAATACTATTGTCTTAATTTCTAATTCCATACGCTAAAAATATCTCAGCCAAAAATTTTTATAATCATGAAAACAATTTTAGACGTACTCGAAGAAAGCAGATTTCGAATCATTCACTGGTCTGACATTAGCGAAAACAATGGAAATTTGTGGTTTTATTTCCGTGGCAGATGTTGGCAGTCCCAGTGCAGTTTCCCGTCATCTGGTACTACCATTGCCAACCGACAAGACAGCAAGTATGCAAGGAATATCACTTGAGGAGGAATCCGATAACGAGGATACTGGCGATGATGGTAAAATTCCATCGTTCTGCGTTCTATTACACGGGGCATTAAAGGTAAAAATTTCTAAGAAGAACTCTTAAGAATTACTTACTTGTTTACTTACTAACTTTTCAAATTTTAACTTATTTATTCATTTTCAAAATCGGAACAAATTTGTGTTTTCATTTCTTTAAAAACTGTTTTTTTCCAAACAAATAGGTCGAGAATATGGCAGCATTGTGTGCGTTAAATTCAGATTGGTACGGATTCATCTACTCGTGGGCGGATTCGAAGAAAAAATCGAATTTAATGCTAACAGTGTTGGAACCTGGTACAGATATTATTCCTTGGTTGGGAAATTTGAGTAATCTCGGTCCCATTGAATTGACGGGTGTTAATAGTGACGCAAGTTTTCCGGTGAAACCCACCGAGAAACGGAGTTACTCACAAAATGCACCATCCTGGATACGTCAAGTTGGATTGCAATCTGATATACAAAAAATTTTACGACACGCCAGAAAATTACCCGAGAAGACGCAAAATTTTTACAAGGTAAGCTTTTCTTTCTTTTCTTTCAATTTTTATTTTAAGCAAAAACTTTGTTGTTTATAATTTTTAGAGTAAAAATACAAAAATATAATCAATTACTAATAGAAACTATTGATAATAATTAATAATTATAAAAATAGTAGTGACAACAACAATAATTGTACCTTCTGGCATTTTAAACGTTTCAAATTATCCAATTTTTCAGGAATTGAATCGACTACGAAGAGCAGCATTGTCAATGGGATTTGTCGAATTACTCGAAGGTTTAGCGTTAATTTTCGAAAGGGAATGCACCCTTTTGCCTCCAAATTTACATCCGGATTGTACAATTCAAATGGGACATGTCGCTGATATGTTACGAAAACCATATTCACGTGAATTGAAAAATAACATTACTCCAGTTCGCACGAAATTTCACCATGGAGGAACTGAATAATAAAATTTTCCACGTCCTCCAAAACAAAATTTGTACATTTTATAGAAAATTTTCATAATTGTAATTTTTCAGAGAATTTAAAAATATATGCATTTTATTGTAATATAAATTTATTTTCTTATACAGTCAATATAATAATTGAATCAGATGTAAAATTTATATTTGTAATAATAATACTATTATTAGCATTTATTATTAATAATAATAGTAATAATGATTTACTCATTTTGTTGGCATTCGATAAGGTGACAAATAATGTCATAAATTCCTTTAACAGTTCGATCAGTCGAATAAATATTGAAATCCGGCACGTGAATAAATAGAGCACGTTCGGAATCAATATTCAATGAATTGTAAAAAATATATTCGCACAAATAGCGTCCAGCCTCTTTAGAAATACAAGCAGTGCATCCTGAATTTGATGAATTATTATTCACGTACGAACACAGAGAATCAACGTCAATTGTTGTTTTTAATGTTTTTTCATCATTTTCATTATCGTTTAGTAATTTATTATTTACATCTGGTCTATCGTAGCCTTTATTGCAAGCTCTGCATTCGATTGTCAAACATTTTGCTAGATGCGAAACTCCTAAATGCAAAACGAACTGAAAATAATTGATAGGGTATAAAATATTTATTTAATATACAGAATAATTTTCGAAAATTTAGAGAATTAGATTTTTACTATTATTTTATGTAAAGATAGATTATTTATTGGTAAAATAATAAAATACCATTGGTTTATGTTGCTTCCAAAGTTCAGGAATTCGTTTTGATACATGATCGTAAGCAACAGGCACATTTTCCGTAATTAATTGAATACCGTATTTTTTATTTAATTCATCGGATTTCTTTTCTAATTCCATTACAGCCTCCCAACTGGCATTAATTGCATGTTTACCGAAAGGTCCAAACCCAGTGATTAAGATTTTCTTTTCTTTTTCATTATTCATGATTGAATTTTCTATTTTTGAAAACTAAAATATTTCAAGTAAAGTAGAATCTTTCTCGTTAGTCTAGAAATTCACTATATTTGAAACTGAGACAAAATAAGACAAAATTAATCAGACATATCATTTATTTATTCTCCTACTTACCTAATCGTGTAACAAACAATAAAACTGACACTGTTATCTCTCTGAAATTGTTTAATTTATATCACTTTTGAAAAACCGAAGTAAATAATATTCACTAAAAACGAACCAATCATAACTTGTCAATTCCTATAGATCCAATATTTTGGGGCTGAGGCAGAAAGTAGAGCATTTTTACATACTTATACTTCTAAAAACAACACCTTAAAATTAAAACATTCAATATCAAAAATTAATAATTTTCATTAATGATAAAAAATCAATTTCTGATTAACTGAGGAAAAGATAATTAATTCCAAACAAAAAATTAAAAGAACAATCTTTATTTCTCATTTAAGAACACATACTTTTCTTACATTCATACTTTTCATTCATAATAATACATTTCCAAGCATTTTCTAAATGAATTTTTAACTATTAATGATATTTATACTTGTATATGTCTAATATTAATTTCATAATTACATTAAATTCATTATCATCATTAAATTACACGGTGGTGGACTCTATTAACATTTTAAACATATTCTTCAAGTATTATTCTCTATAATTTACAATATATAATAATTACAATTGATTGGAAATTAAAAATTGTTTACAAGCATTTCGTATAATGATAAAAATTATTTTAACTGAAATCTGACAATAAATATTTAAAAAATAAATTCTTAAATGGATAACTTCGATTCCATCTAATTGTCAGCATGTCATAATCAGATGAAATTTATATCATTAAAGAAATAATGGAATAATTGGCATTTTCTTTTTCTTTTAACTATATAGATTATTAAACACTAAGCGACGAACGTGAATTAAGATAAAATTGATAACCAGAGAATCCTAATGTAATGACATAAAGGATTGCTGCAATCCAACAATTAAGGGCATTTGCTTGAAAGCCCTTATTAACTTCAAAATAAAAGTCCTCTACTTTTGTAAATGTTTTCCCCTCGAGAGGAAGATCCTCAATTAATGCGACACTCTTACAATAAAAGAATATTCCCATCAATGCCTAAAACATAAATAAATATTTTGTAGAATATAAATTGTTTATTAGAGATTAATTGTTTAGTAAATTGTAATAAACATTATATTGTAATACTTAAGGTGAAAAAAAGATCACTTTATTATTAATATACTTACCAGTTGAATGACACCCCATGCTGAAATTATAACTCCACAGAGTGCGTATTTTGGGCCACAGACTTTCATTTTGATTCGGAAATGTGTTTATTTTTTCAAACAATTGTAAAATTAAAATAAAAGATCACTTTTTCACGAGGGGAAAATCACGTTCTAATTCAATACGCCCAAAACACGAGTAGTCATATGATCACAAACGATTGAAAATTGATTATCAAACGTCATATTCAAGTTACAGGAGAAATAAAAATGGGAATTCGAAACCAATGGCAAACAATAGTTAGGGGAAATCAATTCTAAAGAATTATTTTTATTCGTTGTTCGGATAAATTTTTTATCCGGACAAAGAATCATTGAAAAAGTATGAACCGCCTTTAAGCCTTGTCCGCAAAATTAAATTCAATGTCACGTTTTTGAAAAATCAAGAAATTGTAAAAATATACTACTTTGTTAATATTACTGTTGTCGTTATTATTATTTTTATATATAATCTTCGATGATATTAAATTAGACTTACAATTCCATTGTTATATCCACTTTGTTGTTGTCCTTGTTATTCTTTTCAGTAAATTTTATTTTTCACTTTCACGACTTTCACAAATCACAAAAATAAATAACAAATGCCTATATTTTACTATCTTTTTTAATAATTTCTTTAGTAATTTGTTTTTTCCCATGTATACAATCCCGCCGAAAATCCCAAAAATGAATTAAAACATAACCTAAAAATATGAAATTATTAAATATACCAATATGACCAATAAAATCTAAAATTTTGATCAGAATGTTAGTATTTGATATTTTATTCATGAAAAGCTTGCCATTTATGAAATTTTAATATTAAATTAACAAAGAATTGCAAATATTTTGTTGGCTTGTAAGAGAGAATGGCCAGATTTGCTATAGAAATTTTTCAAGTAAATATTTCGTCTAAAACCCTTTTATAATAGAAAATTATATGTAATGTATAGCCTTGACCACTTATAATAGACATTTAAGACAAAATTAATAAGGAAAGACTTAGAAAATTAAAATTATTAACACAAAATAAGAGATGCTGTAAACGGTTAAAGATTTTCAACATTTTTCTCAAGTGTACTGAAGTTAGCAACTAGTCGAAAGCAACGGCATGATTCAACGGAGCAATCTTATTGGCTCTTCACTTGGCTCAAGTTTTCAAATTTATTTATTAATTAACATTTATCTTAGAATTAAATAATTAAGAATTAAAATTATCATTGAATGATAATTTTAAAAATTATTTAACCTAGTAGTGTAAACTTTAAGTAAAAATAATAACGATAGATTGTTGTTATTGAAAAAATGTGGACATTAATTTTCGATTATCGATAATTCGATACTATTCGATTTTACAGCGGAACCGGCGCGAAACGGAAGTAGAGTCAAATCCGGCAAATAATGACATATAGGTTATGTTTTGATAAACAAAGGAAACTGACACGCTTATTTACATTGTTGTTTACACCCTTTGCATGTTATTATTTAATTTTTAAGAGTTTTAATTAATTATAATTTTACTTACAATGTCACTGCCACCTAAAATAAGAAAATTGGATGAAGTCGTAGTAAATAGAATTGCAGCTGGAGAAGTAATTCAACGACCGGCAAATGCTTTGAAAGAACTAATTGAAAACTGGTAAATATGTTTTTTAAATAAATAAAAAAAATAATATTTATAAACATTTAACTTATTTATTTAGTTTGGACGCGAAAGCTACGAATATACAAATTACAGTCAAGGAAGGTGGCATGAAACTATTGCAGGTAGTTTTAGTTTTTAGTTATTTTTACAATTCGAAAAATTTAAATAATTAATGTATGATCTATTTAATATCTTTGTTATCTTTACTATTTTTTTTAATAATTTTATTTATTAACAAGAATTCTTGCGTTCGATTCAATATTTAATTAGTATTCAAATATTGTTTTCATTAATAAAAACAGATTCAGGATAATGGAACCGGAATTCGAAAAGATGACATGGAAATAGTTTGTGAAAGATTTACGACAAGTAAATTGGAGAAAATTGAAGATTTACAAGCATTAACTACTTATGGATTTCGGGGAGAAGCTTTGGCTAGTATTAGTCATGTGGCACAATTGACTATTACTACTAAAACAATGGAAGAAAAATGTGCCTACAAGTAAAAGAAACTTTACTGAAAATAAGATAATTATAATAATAATTAAATTTGCTTTTTTCTTTCTCTACTATACTATAAATTATTATCTACTTATCAGTTAATTATTTACTATTTTCAACAGATGTTCTTATTGCGATGGTGCATTAAAAGCTCCACCAACTTATTGTGCTGGAAATCAAGGCACTACAATAACGGTTGAAAATTTATTTTACAATGTACCAACCCGGAGAAAAGCCTTAACAAGCGCCACAGAAGAATTTTCCAGAGTTGCCGAAGTTGTGACAAAATATGCTGTACACAATCCTTCGATTGGTTTCAGTTTAAAGAAACATGGAGAGACAAATACACACGTATGGAATAAAATTATTGGCTTAGAGAAAAATGAAATAGACCAAAAATAAAAAAAATATCTACATAAAAATAGAGAATATTTTAAATTTTTAAATCAAATTTGTAAATAAAAAGAATTTACTCTTTAGATTTATTTCTATTAATTTGCAATTTTTCTTTAAGGTAAAAACACCGCATTCATCGACGAAAGCGAATAATATTCGATTACTTTACGGCAATCAAGTGGCTCGTGAACTCCTCGAAATTGAACTGAACGATGAGAAGCATAATTTTAAATTACATGCGTTAATAACAAATCCAAATTATTCCAACAAAAGATTAGTATTTCTTCTCTTTATCAATCATCGTTTAGTAGATTCATCAAGTGAGTAAATTACTAATTTAATATTACAATATAATTACACTTGTAACGATAAAGAATAAATTATTTTCCAATTTTTGAGGACCTTAATTTTTATATTATAAAAGGCCAGAAATATACCTTTAATCGATAAAGAATAAAGAAATAAAAAAAATTGATCTTTCAAAATTGTTTCAGTGCTGAAAAAAATGTTAGAAGATCTTTATTCCGTGCATTTACCGAAAAAAACACATCCCTGGTGTTACATATCACTGGAAATTGATCCCCACAATGTGGACGTTAATGTTCATCCAACAAAACATGAGGTACGCTTTCTCCACGAGGACTCGATAATTGAAAAAATAAAAATTGCCCTAGACGAAAAACTCTCCGGTGTCAGTGGAACAAGAACGTTTTACATGAAATCAAAACTACCAAATGTCGACGTCACTAAAGATGTTCTAAAAGAAGTATTACCCGATTACGATTCACAAAGAACCGAGAAAACCAAAAAACCATATGCTCACGAAATGATACGAACAAATTCATCGGATCAAAAATTGGATAAATTCAATTTCAGCATTAATTCTGGTAGTAAAAATAAAAATCTATCTATGGACAAATCGAAAGAAACTGAAGAAGCTCAGATTGAGAAACAAGGTGAAAAAGAAAGAGAAAAAAGAAAAGAATCCGAAAATACGGAAAGTGATCGAAATATTGTAGAAATTCAAAATATTCAAAAGATTCAAGAAATTCAAGAAATTCAAGATCCTCAAGACGAAACGATTCTACGTTCAGAGGTGTCAAACAATTTAGAGGATTACGCAATGCAAGAGGATAATTCAACCTGTTTTATGCTTTCCGATTCAGACGAATCGATTGCAGATGTGACGAAGACTAATAAAACCGTTGATATGGAACTTGAATCGTCCGATAGTAGTTTGATAGCAAATAAAGCTCTCGAAAGAATATATAAACATTGGGGTGGTGCACCAAAACCGAAGGAAAATGACGAGAGTGTAAAAAAGAATTCGTCAGACATTGAAAAATCGTGTGACAATGATGGAAAGGAAAATGAAACCGAGGAGAAAAGCGAGGATAAACAAAAACAAAAAGAAACAATAGTGAAGGACGATTGTAATCGTGAAAAATCGTCAGACTTGGAATTTAAATCATATTCCGTAAATGATTTCAGAAGGGAAGTGAAATTAAAAAGTATTCTCATGTTGAGAAAAAAAGTCGAAGACAATTATCACGCTGGTCTTCGTGAGATTTTGTCAAATTTAATATTCGTCGGTTGTATTGACGAAGGTTTTTCTCTCATTCAAAGTGGCATCAATTTGTATATTTGCAATACTCAAAATCTTGTGTAAGCATTCTTTTAATTATATATTTTAACGTTGAAATTTATAAATTATTAATCTGTCCGTTTTTTTTTCAGGGAAGAATTATTTTACGAAATTATGCTCTATGATTTTGCTAATTACGGTGTTATAAAATTCTCCGTAAGTTGAGCGCAATTACTTTTAATTATTGAATATTTTTCCCCATCTTTTACTTTTTCAAGGCTCGAACCAGTGAAAGTATTTAAAAATACGGACTTTAGGGACCAAAAATGAAAAATTATGGACCAAATACTGACAAAAAATATAACCAGTCCGAGTCAAATATTAAATTTTTTGAAAATACATAATTGAATTTCGGAGAAGAATTTAATTATTTCTAAACATAATTGAAATTTTGACGAGAATTTTTTTTAATTTTTGGATATAATTAAATTTCTGCGAAGAATTTTATAACTTTTAAAAATAATTGAATTTCTGCAATCATCTGTAATTTCTCTAAAATTCTCCAATGTATATCGTACAATTTACGAACTTTTCGTCCTTTTTTTTATCAAATTACAAACTTTACGGACCTTTTTTTAAAAAAACTGACTTTTACGAACTTGAACTTTTAAAGTAAAAAAATTATAATTGTTAGGAACCGTTGCCAATTTACGATCTGGCAATGTTGGGTCTCGAGACAAAAGATGCCGGATGGACCGAAGAAGATGGCAAAAAGGAAGATTTAGCGAAAAGCGTAGAAGAACTACTTTTGGAAAAAGCCGACATGATGAAGGAATATTTTTCAATTGTTATAGACAAAAAAGGAAATCTAAAGTCTCTGCCAATACTATTAGGTGAGACATCAAGCGATAAATTTTGAAATCGTTCCCAAAATTTACATTTTCTTATTAACTGTTTAACTATTATTATTATTATTATATTATTTACTTAATTCATATTGTTAATAACGATTTATTAATTTTATAGATCAGTATTATCCAAACGAAGCCGGAATTCCCCTGTTCATACTGCGATTAGCGACCGAAGTCGACTGGAATGTTGAGCAAACATGCTTTCAGAATATTTGTCGAGAAACTGCAAAACTTTACAGTCAAATTGACACCGAGTCAGATACGTACGATTGGAAGCATGTGACTGAACACATTTTATACAGCGCAATAAAAGAAAGTTTACTTCCACCAAATCATTTTGCGCACGATTCAACATTACTTCAATTAGCATCATTATCTGATTTATACAAAGTATTCGAACGTTGTTAATTTTATCGACAAATAAAATATTTGTTTTTTTTATTAACAAATGACGTTTTATTGAAAATAATTAACGAATTTTCTTTAAAAAAAAAATTCTATTTTATTCTCCAACTTTCAACATATAGAAAAAAGAGGAATTAAAAATTTCTTACACATTTAAAATGACGCAACATTTTATCGAAATAAAATTCAACATTTTCATCACCACTTTTCGTTATATCAAACATTCGGAAATGTCTTTGTTGCGCAAAATTCATATTATACATTTTTTTCATATATATATAATTCTTTTTTTTTCGTATTCTGCTGACAACAGTTTTCTTTTTTTCTCTTTTTAGAATTTAAAATTCACTTTTTTTACAAGCTCAATTACCATGCTATACAAAAATTCTTCTAATGAGATTAATAAATGCAATTAATTATTATAAGTAAACATGTTTTGTTTGTTTGTTTTTTTTTGTAAAAATAGAAATTTAATTTATCGGAATTGTAGAATACTTATCTTGAGACCGCTACATTGTTTACCGACTTGTGAGACCTCACAAACTTTACATAATGAATCTTGAAATTGGGGTTGATAGGTCGCTCCACAAAGGGGGCATTTCGTCTCAGGACTTCCACGATAAATTGGAGTGTAGGTGCCAGCGCACAGTGTGAATGGATTGTGTTCGTCGTAGGCTAATTCATGCTCATCGATTGGATTCTTGTCGCATGCCTAAAGAACAATTGTAATTAATCAAAAATTGCGCAACGTAGTGTCAAATATTTTTTCGTTTTAACCCTTTGGAATATAAATACGAATTGCAATTAAAAAAAAAGGAACTCACCTGTAGAATCTTACGAACTTGTTGAGCAACTTCGGCCCTAGGTCCCAATTCGAGAAGTCGTCTCGCGAACGATGCGGCAGTCTTGTAGTTTTTGAGCTTAAAGAACATGTTGACTGCAGTACGAAGTGTTAGAATTTGATGCACTGGTTGTAAATTACAGTGAGTGAAGTATGCGGCCATTTCGCAAATTCTCTTCTGCTCGGCCAATGAATTTTTCGGTAAATTCTTACGTTCGGATTCCATTTTCAAACCTAGGATATATTCCCGACAGATTTGTATTAACTGTTGTGCTTCGGCAATATCTTGCCTTGTGTCAACAACCAAAAATGGAACACTGAGAAGAATGGCCTGTAGTTTTTCAGTAGCTTCAACGAATTTTCCACTGGTCGTCAATTGATAGCAGGCTTGAAGTCGTTGAACAAGATCAGTGAGTCGTAAACCAATTGCCGGCAATGCAGTCTTTGGAGTAGCTTCTTTCCAATTTCGCAATGGATGATTGTACAATGATGGCAAACTCGGTAGAAGAGAATACGAAGTTCTTGATCTTGCAAAAGTATTCATGAACAAAGATTGATAGGGCTGGAAATTAATAACACCGACTTGTTCATACAATAATGTGGAGGCTGTTTTAAATGATCCTGCCAGAATATGATCGACCGGGAGTTTTGAATTGTTGATCCAGTGTTGAGTTGGTGGAACACCTTTTGTTGGTGGTGCATAATAATTCTCGTCAGACGTTGCATTACTGACTTCGAGTTCCGGTGGTAGATCGACATCCTCAACCTCCCAACCGGCAGTTTCGTCACCCTCGTTAACACTCTTTGCGTCCTCCATTTCGTCCTCTTCCATTCCCAATTCGTCATCATTGCCCCAACCCTCAACGACATTTTCATCTTCCTCAAGAGCCAATGCCGCTGAAACTTGACTCTTACCACGAGTCATCATCGCACCCTCGAAGAATCCCTTCGACACTGTCAACAATGGCCAATTATTCTCCACCTGTTGAACCGGAACCGGTGGGCAAAGATAAATTGCCACTCCCTCCAATTCTGACAATTCCTCCTTCATCGATTCATAAACAGTGTCGTCCTCTTCGTTCGAAAGACCGTGAATTTTCTCCGTCACGTAGGCTAGTGACGGCTGCCCTGAATTCTGCGAAAAAAGAAATATTAAAAATAGTGTAACAATAAAAGACGTGAAAGGTAATAGTAAACATACCTTGAGAATTTTGACACGTTCGTAAATGTCACCCAAGAGAAGACTTCCTTGATACTGTCCAGAGACGTCTTTTCTTATTTCGGCGATCTTTGTCATTTTTTTCAATTTATCCAAATTGCCAGTAATGAGATAGAGGAATGCGAGTTTTTCGAAATTCTTCGTTCGTTGATAGCACATTTCAACCACTTGATGATTGCCCTGTAAAAGTGCCGCGTTGGCCAAATTCTCCCAGCAAGATTTCTCATCCAACGATCTAGCGGCTTCGAGAGCGACTTCAATATTACCGCACTCGAGTGCAAGACCAAAGCGCGTCTTCTCGTCTTTGACAAAATGCAAAGCAACTTCGGGATAACCTTTCTGTTGCAAATAAGCAATTATCGACTGTCCGACCAAATTTGCTGTTCGTACCATATGCAATACCTCCTCGTATTTGCGATTAATAAGCGCTAATTTAAATTTATACTCCGTGGGATCTATCCTCAATATTCTCGGTCGACATTCACGATCTAGACAATAGACCTGAGTGCCCTTGACTTTAGTGACGTAAATCGGCAAATCGAGAGTGCGAATAATACCATGATCGCCATTATTAATGGCATATTTAATGTGATTACTGGTCGTGTAAATAAACACTCCGGACTCGTCCCAAGCGCCGGATTTCACTCTCGTATTCTCATGAATCGAGCACAGGGATTCTAAACGTCGATTGCAGATGTTGACGGTGTGCTTTGCGAGTAGCGCCACGTATGACATGTCACCCGACCAAACAACATAGCGACACTTCGATATCTTCACCTCCGCCAGAGTCCTTTTTTGCTGAACGTCAAACAGTATCACCTGATCGGCATCACGTAACAGTAACATTCCCGTGCCGGCGTAGAAAATCTCGTCGCAATTTGGAACTTGCACCTTCTTTGTGACCTCGTTTTTCAAATTTTTTATCAACAACTGAAAAAACAAGACATTGACAATTAGAGACTTTATTCGACAATTTAGAGAAATAGAAAGAAAAAGAAAGACTTACAGAATAGGCACGATCAAGAACTGCGAAGCGATTCCGAGCGACCCAGATAGCAGTAATTCCGCCAGCCCTCTTGGCATCGGCGTCCGTATTATTATCGCCTTCCCTCGGAATCACGTAGAGATCATAACTACTATTTTCAATATTCGACGGACTTCTCGTACAAATAAGAACTGCATTCTCAGCCTGATTGTAGGACATACTGTAAGGTGCAATCTTCACTCCAGTGCGAAGTTGCATCACCGAAACATCCTTTGAAGTCGTAAAATCCAATTTCCGCAGAAAACGCTCCTTAACATAAAAGAGAATATTTCCCGAAACAGCATAAGCCGGTCGTTCACGTTCCAACTTGAAAATAATCATTCCCGAATCATGTCCAGCTGCAAATAGATTCAAAGTTGGATGCGCTGCCAAAACCCAAAATCTCTCATGCTCCCGTCTAAAGGTATGAAGACAGGTGCGTTTCGTCATATCCCAAACGCGAATACTCTTATCCTCAGAGTTCGATAAAATAATATCCTGTCTTGGATGGAACAGCACACACGAGACATTATTGTAATGCCCCCTACAAACATCAACCTCCCAAGCCTTCAAATCATTCATCCTCCAAATTTTAATCTGTCGATCGTCAGCGCCCGAGACAATCAACGGCAAAGTGGGATGGAAACTTGCCCAATTAACACCGCGATCATGACCCTCGAGAACATGTTTAACGAGCGCATCGGCCTGACCGAACAGATCAGTCGCACCCGGATTCTTCAAATGATCCTCAAGACCACCGGGACCTGGTGCAACGTTCTTCTTCCGCAAACCAGAAATATCCCAAACACGAACTGTCTGATCAAGTGAGGCGGAGACAATTAAATCCTCCGATGGATGAAATTGAGCGTACATCACGTAATGATTGTGTCCGGTTAGAACACAAATGCAGGTTCTACTCTGCCAATTCCAAATACGAATTGTCTGATCATCGGAGGCACTGAGAATCCACGGGTACTCATGATGGAATGCAGTCGTTCGAATATAGTCCAAATGACCAAGAAGAGTGAATATACATCTCCTTTGCTTGTAGTTCCAAACTTTAATTTTGTAATCATCGCCTCCGGAGACAAACAACGGTTGTTGATTATGAAAACATATCCCGCGAACCGGTCCATCATGCTCGTCGAATTTATCCAACAGCGTACACATTCGATAGTCCCACAATTGAATAACTCCATTGTGTAAACTAAAAGAAGGTAAATTTGCAATTTGTCAATAAATAAAAATAGAAAAAAAATTTAATAAATCTTTTTCAAAAAAATTAATTTAAAAATTAATTTATTAAAATTTTATTAAAAACAATTGAAATTCTGCAATAAATTTAATTATTAATGAAAATAATTGAATTTCTAAAAAAAATTTTATTATTTACGAAAATAATTTTATTGAATCCTGTAAAAATTTTATTATTTATGAAAATAATTGAATAATTGCGAAGAAATTTATAAAAAATTTGTAAATAATTAAATTCCTGTAAAAGCGAAATTCAAAACTATTCAATAAACAGAAGAATTTCTCTATTCAGTGCTTTCTTCCAGAGGCATTAAAAACAACAAATTGTTAAGAATAAAAGAAAAACTAATACCTGCTGGTTTGTCAACACAAACAACAAAAATTGTATAAGGGAGAAGAACGTTATTTCAAAATATTCTAAAATACACCACATTTAACAGTAGAATTTATAAAGAAACTATTAATAAACAATTAAGTGCAAAGTTTATGAATAATTAAATAAAAATGTTTATTTACCTTGCAAGAATCCATGGGCGTTTCGGATGGAAGGAGAGTCCTTTAACACGAGCAGATTTTGTTTCGAATTTCGTCAACATTTTTCACAATTCACTTTCCAATGGTACAATAAACATTCGTCGATTATGAATTGTCTTTATAAATCTAAAAAATAATTTAAAATTAACGTAATTCCTTGGCAATTAATGACAATTCTTATTGAATAATATTGTGCACTTGTGGCATTGCCATCGTGTCATCCCCGGAAGTGTCAAACAAGTTAACCACTGTTAAATCAATGTCTTTAGAGGAAATATTCCTCCTGACGAATTAGACAGTAGCTCTAGGGGAAAACACAGTAGTTTATTGGTTGACTGAAAAAAAGTGTCCAATTTGCGGATAGTAATTGGTTTCTTGAAAATAAACCCTGAGCTGGCTGTTGCTTTCAATTGAACGTGTGAATAAAACTTAAAGTTGTATTATCTTTTTGGTGAAATGCATTTCCTTCTTTTATTCTTTGATTTCATCATTTTGGAATTCTCACGTGCGTGTTTTTTTGGATTATAAAAAATTAAAAAAATAGAAATGGCATTCACTGTTTTACCAGTTGCAATAAGATGTGGGCGTTTAACAATTGAAAATATTTGTCAAATTACTAGGAATTGTATCATTAGGTAAGAATTTTAATTTCTCACAGAACAATTTTTCTTCTATCTATTACGTGCACATGACAATGAGGTTACTTAAGGGAAAATTGAAAATAATGATTGTTTTTGAGTAAAAAAAACATGTAAATTTGTTTTAAAGAACCGAAATTTGTCCTCTATTTATGTCTTAAATTTCCAAATATTCTACATTTGTGATTTTTTTTAAAGTGGTTTTTGTATTCAAAAAAAATTAAATACTATGTTATAATACTTTTTTTAATCAACAATTTATGGGTGTAATTTAATCAATTTAATATTTAAAGAAAGAGAGAAGATTAATTTTCTTATTAACAGTTCCTCAAGAGCGTTTTCGGCTACCCCGTCGAATTGTCAAGGTACAGCAGCAAAAGAACAGAAACCTGGAGAATCGACAGAATCTAATCAAGAACTTTCGGACAGTGAGAAAAAATTAACAACGGAAATAGAATTATTAAATAAGGAAATAGTCGATCTTAAAGAACAAAATAATGTTTTAAATGACAAATACAAAAGATCACTCGCGGATAGTGAAAATTTACGGAGACGTCTAATGAAACAAATTGAGGACGCAAAACTTTTTGGTATTCAATCGTTTTGTAAGGATTTATTAGACGTTGCTGATATTTTAGGAAAAGCTACAGAAAGCGTACCAAAAGATCAATTAACCGAGAGTAATCCACACTTGAAGACCTTATACGAAGGTTTAACCATGACTGAAGCACAATTGCACAAGGTAAAATCGATAATAATTGTAAATTTTTAATTACCATTAATATCAAGGATTGACACAGGTCAGGAAAATCAGGAAAAAGTCAGGGATTTTTAATAAAATTACTAGAAAAAAATTAAATGTTTAGAATTTACGAGAAAATTCTGAATTTTTGTGTTTTCTGTTTGCCTCATAAACTATGAGAATTATGAATTACAATTTATAACTTACGACGAATTCTAAAAAAAAACCTTCAATTTTTTCTATTTCTGACAATAATTTATGTTAAATAACTTGATTCTATTCTGCCATAAAATTATTACTTCTAGATCATTCTAGAAGAAAAAAAAATTTTAATTTCAATTCTTTTGAAATTAGTTTCAATTCTAAACATTTTAACGCAATTCTTTGAAAGAATTCAACTATCTTAATAAATATATTAAAATTCTTTTCAGAAATTCAATTATTTTCAAATATTTTTTAAAAAATTCTCGTCCATATTTCAATTATCTTTAAAAATTGAATTGAAATTATAAAAATAATTTTGAAAAAGTTAGAGTAACAATATTCTTATATTATAATATAAAATAATGATTTTATCACTCGGTCATCTTTAATTATTATAAAACATGAATAAATCGTTCACTCCGAGTCGAAGACTCGGAGTTATCGATTTCTTCATGTTTTATAATAATATTCTTCCAAGTTGTTAAATTTTAAAAAAGATTTTAATTACAAATTTTTGAAAATTTTAATTCCTACGGAAAAATATTAATAATTACATATTTTATTTAAAAAGGAAGTTCGTGATGTTTTCGAATAATTTTACAATTACAGAAATTCGTAAATAAATGTAATAGAACATTTTTTTGAGTATCTAATAATTTTTAGAGTGAATCAGAATATTCTTTAGGGTCATGGGAAAAAAGTTAAAATTTTGTTTGGAAATCAGGGAAATACAAAGTTAAATGTTTGTGGCAACCTTGAATATTTTAGCACTTTTTAACCAACGTTTACAATTTTTATCACTTTTCGCTCAACGTTTTACCATTAAATATTATTTTGTTTAAACAGGTATTTAAGAAACACGGTCTCGAATCATTAAATCCGTTAGACGAAAAATTCGATCCAAATCAGCATGAAGCTCTATTTCAACAGGTGAGATTTTCAATCTACTTTTTACTTTTTGCAATAAATTCGAATATAAATCTGAAACTCTTCTTTATCAGGAGGTTGAAGGCAAAAAACCAGGAACAGTTGTCGTAGTATCGAAAGTTGGTTACAAACTTCATGAACGAATAGTAAGGCCTGCTCTCGTTGGTGTTGCCAAAATATAACGAGACGATATAATTGTCAAGTCATCTGGACCATGTGTTAAATAGATCTAAATGAGAATTAATGAGAAAGTGCAAGTGATCCATTTGTTTAATAAAATTCTGATCTAATGTAAAAAAAGAAAAGAAAATTATCGTAAAGAATCAATGTTGAAATATGTTACGTTATAATTTTTTTTTGATTTAAAATTATAAGTTATATATAAATGTATAGAGTAAAATAACTTTCCTGTTTGCATTCCTGTAATACCACATCAATTAAAGGCTTTTAATTTTTATCGTTTCTTGTAAATTAGTATTTAAAACCCAATTTAAATAAAAGTAGGAAAGATTTTTTAAATTTTAATAAAAATTTCGGACAAATTTGAAGAAAAAAAATTGTTTTGTAAATTTACTGAAATTTAAGTTAAAACAAAAAGGAATTTAGAAAAACAAGGATATAAAGGGAGAAACAAAAAGTCGAAATGCAACAATTGATTCTCTGACCTGTATAATAATTACCGTCATACAAATATTGTTATCACGTAAATATTTTTGTCGCACAAAACCAATTTTTCATTTCTAGCCAATGGTCTTTGTCTTACAAGCTAATATATATTTATAATATGTATAAATTACTCTATTATGCCATTTACAGACAGCACATTAATGACTGTATGAGTAAAGGCGTGATCGATCCATCATGAATTAGTACAACAATCCCAAAAAAATGTTGCATACGTATATAAACGGTGGAAAAAAAACAATAAAAAAAAACAAGAACTCCACCTATGGAATTGTTGACAGAACGACACATTTCATAAATCATTGATTTGTTTTTCCTTTTTTTTTATTATCAAATATTCTTCCAACGCCCTAAATATAATATAAAGAATATTTATGCGAAAAAGAAAACTTATGTTAGATTTCTTCAAAGAAATGAAAATTACCTACACAATAAAATCTTCATTAACATAATATTCTCTGGGACTTAATTATTACAAATATTTTATCAATAAAACAAGAAATCATTTTTATAATCTAAGTAAACTTATTATGCAAGATTTTAAAAAGTTTTCTTTTACGTCTTGCAAAAATCAACGAGAAATTATTAAAATTTTTAATAGCGTACAAAAAAATTCTTTTTTTTTTTTTATTCTAAAAAGAAAAATAATTTATTTAAAATGTTTCCCCCTTTTTTTTTTGTTTTCGTTATTTTTATTTTATTCTTTTTTTTTAAAAGAAGAAAATAGAAATCGAGTTTTATCGAGAAATATCCATTTCTACACTGCGTTTATAGTAAGTTCATTAATATATCAATAGAACTTGAATATACAGAAAAATTTGATTAACGGCGTTAATAAAACACAGCGTTGAAAAGATTCCAATCGCGAATTCTATTTTCTTTTCTATGTAAATTATTTTTTGTTCTTTTTCTTTCTTTTTTGTTGAATATTCTGTAAAGGCTATTTTTTTAAAGATGAGACTTTTACATGATTTCTTTTTACATTTTTTTTTGTCATTCTGAAGAAGCCTTAAAAATGATTTTTTTTTGGAATTTACGGAATTTTTTCTTTTCAAACTGGTAAAAAAGGACGTTTTTTTCATATTTTTTCCCCCAAATTTATTTTTGTTACAAAATTAGCAGTACTTAGAGAAAATAAATTAAGGACTGCAAATTTTTCGAACACTCTTGTTAAATCAATTATCAAAGCAAAATGTAAAAATCACTACGAAAATTTTCTTTTTTCCTCTTCTATCATTATTGCCAAAATATTAATTTAAATATTCCTCACAAAAAATTGACGAAGAAAAGAAAAAAAAATGTCACGTGAAATTCTAAACAGCACTAGTATTTTTGTAATAAGTTTTATTACAGAATAAAGAAAAAAATTGAAATAAACAAGTAATGTTGAAAGCTTTTCTACAATTTGTTTTTTCTTAAAAAAAAAATAGAAGTTCATTTAATGACAGAGCAATAAATTGATCTCAATAAGCAACGAGAGAAGCACAATCAAAATGTTATTTGTCATTATGAAAAAATTATTTTTCAAATAAAAAAAAATAAAATTTTTCATTTACTTACTAAGACGTATGATATTTGACTGCACCAGAAATAATAGTTGTTGATTAATAATGAACAAGTGCAGTGACTTTCTTTTACAATATAAGTATTTGTGCTCTGATTTTGCAAAAGAAAAAAAAGAAGAAAAAAAATGAACTAATATATGATTCCCAATATTGAGGAAAAATTATTGCCTCAAAGTCTATAATGCTTGAAAATATATTCTAGCGTCTTTCTCGTGATCCAGAACTTTGACGGACAAAACTATTTTCGTGGTATCAAATTACATTATAATAGCGCACCTTAAGATGAAGACATTTTACTTTTTCTTTTCTTTTTTTAACGAAATCGCGTACCACTTTTTTCCCTATGCTCTTGTTTTCATGCATCCGATTAGTACAAAACTGAAGTTAATTGTCAATTTCTTTTTTTTTTATCTCTTGACATTATTTGGTTTCGTACTAATGGATATTTTATAATAAAAGGGGGGGTAAAAGGGGCTCTTTTTTCCAATTAAATTCAATGAGAGATAAAAATAGCTCACGAGAAATTATCACCCGCGACTTCTGACTTCACTTTCTTCATTGGCGATCCTGCATGAGGTCGAACATCCGTCACAGGTCTTTTAACTTGAGGATTGCTCTTTCCTGTCGTGGTAGGATCTGCGAAAAAAATAACAATAAGATTTTATTAATTCGTAAACGTTTTTACTGGTAAAAATTAGAAATAGATTTAAATTTGGAAATAGATGAAAATTTTGATAAATGAAAGAAATAGAATATTTTGAAAGAGAGAAAAAGAAAATTCTCACCTTGAAGCCACCTGACTTGGGTTGCGGGTCCATAGCCTTTATCGTTTCTGGCAGCTATTCTAAAGATGATGGCGGGTTTTGTTGTTGTGTCGACGTGAGCCGCACTCAGGGAACTATTTGGTACTGAACATGCATTGGTGGGTCCACAGTAAACTCTTATAAACGCTAATTGCGTTGGTGTTGTTGCCACTGTTGTTGCTTCACCAGTATTATTTGGTGTGGCACTTGCGCTACGCACTGCCAAATAGACGGAATATTCTAATATTGGGCCCAAATTACTTGGCGGTGGCTCCCACGAGAGTTGTGCGCCTTCTGATGATTTGGAAATTTTAATTGCGCTCGGGGCTCCAGGGAAGCCGGGAAGACACGTTTTGAAAGCAGACACCTAAAATTCATTTTATTATTCATTAAATATATATATACTTAATATACTTATCATCGACTAATTTCTAACGTCCTACAGTTTCTTTTTAGAATTATAATGATTTTTTCAGGGTTGCCAGAAAAATTTAATTTTGTTTTTCCCTGATTTCCAGACAAAATTTTGACTTTTTCCCATGACCCTAAAGAATATTCTAATTCACTCTAAACATTATGAGATACTCAAAAAAATGTTCTATTACATTTATTTACGAATTTCTTTAATTGTAAAATTATTCGAAAACATCAATAACTTCATTTTTAAATAAATATTTAATTATTATTTTTCCATAGGAATTAAGATTTTCAAAAATTTGTAATTAAAATCTTTTTTAAAATTTAACAACTTAGAAGAATATTATTATAAAACATGAAGAAATCGATAACTCCTAGTCTAAATTGTACGAAAATTTACTTATTTAGATACAGAAATAAATAATTTATTGTATAATTGAATGCTTCTTAAAATTTAATTTTCAAAAAGAATTTTATCAACAAGTTTTTAAATAATTGAATTCTTTTGATGAATTTCAAAATAAAATTTTTAAGAATAATTACATTTTTCGAGAAATTCATCAAAATTGTATTAAAAATAATTAAAATTCTACTATGAATTTATTATTTATGAAGATAATTGAATTCCTAAAAAGAATTTTATTATTTATGAAAATAATTAAATGTTTGCGTTAAATTTTATTAAAGTTTTTTTTTAAATAATTAAATTCTTTTGGAAAATTTTATTAAAATAGTAAATATTGAAAAATTTTTGAAAATAATTGAAATTTGGCCAAGAATTTTATTAAATTTTTTGAAAATAATTGAATTTCGGAGAAAAATTTTATTATTTATAAAAATAATTGAAATTTTTACTAGAATTTTTTGAAATTTTTAAACATAATTGAATTTCTACGAAGTATTTTATTACTTTTTTAAATAATTGAATTTCTGCAATTATTTGTAACTTCTCCGAAATTTAATTTTTTTAGTGTTTTCAAAAAAAATTCTTGTATAATTCCATTATTTTTAATAATTAATTAAATATTTATTAAAAAATTTAACTAATTTTAGAAGAATTTGAATGGTTAAAATTTTTCAAAAATCTAAGTTCTTTAAAATTTCTAATTAAATTTATTCAAGGTTAGAATTTTATAAAATTTAAAATTAAAACCTTTTGAAGTTCATCAATTTATGAAAATTGTAAACGCAACTCTTTTAAAACTCAATTAATTTCGAAATATTTAAGTAAAATTATTCATTAAATAATTTATTAGTAATAATTTTACGATAGTTCTTCAAGAATTAAGTTATAATATTTAAAAATAAATTTTTGTTAGAAATAGAAAAAATTAAAGGTTTTGTATTAGAATTCATGGTAATTTTATAGTTTACGAGTCAAACAAAACAGAAATTCAGAATTTTCTTATGAATTCTAATAATTTTTTCCAGTATGTATTTTTAATAAAAATTCTTGACTTTTCTCTGCTTTTCCTGACCAATTATACTGTTCCTTATCTGTAGCAACCCTGTTTTTTGTACAAGACAATAAAAGCATAAAAAAAACCCTAAAATCATTATATCTAATCTTGAAAACCAACTGCAAAATATTTGTAACTGGTAGATGATAAATAAACAATATGAAACTAAATAAAAGAATTTAGACCTTCTAAGAAAAGAATTAAAAAAAAGTTTTTAACTAATAGCAAATATAAATAATATTACTCAAACTTTTAACAAAATATAAGAGTGAAAACTTCTTCTGAATTAGAATTGAAAGAAAAATATTGCAAAAAATTTACCTCGCTCCAAGGACTGCGACCGCAACTGTTAACAGCGGCGACTCGAAATTTGTATGCAGTACCAGGTTCCAAAGGAATTTTGAGTTTATTTTTGAAAATATCCGTCGTCAATGCAGTGTTTATATCTAAAGCGTCGTCCGATGGAAGATAATAATGTTGAACTGTGAAATTTGTTGCTTTTACTACTCCAACGTCATACCATTGAATTTCCTTTTTCTTCTCTTCCTGCTGAAAGACAAATATTATTTATTGTATACGAATATTTTTTATTACTTTTCTCAATTTATTACTTATATAGTTATTTGTGATTCTATTCTTCTCTAACTCTATTCGGTTTGCGTTAAGAATCTATTCTTCTTTGGTTTTAACTAATCTTAAATATTCTCTTTTCTTAGATAAAAAGAAACAAAGTACAAACAGAATTTATTTATATTCCCATTTTTACTAATTTAGAGAAAGATTTCACTGTTAAAATTAAAACTACTTGTAATTTTAATTTAAAAGACTAAATTCACTATTTAAAAGACCAAACACAAATTACCTGTTCAGGTTTAACTTTAACAGGTGTTTCGGTGGATCCAAGAGCTGCAGTCGCCAAAGTGGTTAAAGCAGCGGAATCGTCGTTTGTCTCAGCGCCGTTCTCTTCACTTTTTTCCTCCCTTGGCGATTCCTTTTTCACTTTAACCTCTTTTGGTTCACTTTTAATCAAAGTGTTATCAATTTTCGCTGCCAATGTCTCGGGTTCTTTTTCTTTCTCAATGACAGGAGGTGATTGGATTGGTGCTACGGCTGTTACTGCTGCTACGACGGGTTTCACAGTTTCCGATTCTGTAACGGCTAGTAAGAGATCTTTGGGTTTTTCATCAACAAATACCATATCGGCAGCGGCAGCTTTATCGATATCGTCAATAGGATCTGATTCGGGTAGTGGTTGATCAGTGTCCATTGGTTCATCCTCCTCATCTTCCTCCTGATTTTCTTGATCGTCTTCAATTTTCTCATTTTTCACAGCACTAATATCATCCTCAGGTTCCGTTGTCGGTTCAGTGATATCCATTTCCTTTTCCATTTCGTTGTCATCTTGGGGCATATCCGGTTCGGTGTCTTTATCACCCGGGGTACATTCGTCCTCTAATTCAGAATCGTCTTTTGGTAATTTTAATTCTAATTCAGCTTCGTCCATTTGATCCTCCTTATCGTCGTCAACTTCTTTCATTTTTTCATCTTTCTCTTCTTCGACAACTTTTTCGATCTTCGATTCTTCTTTACTTTCGTCCGGCTTTTCTTGATTTTCTTCCTCTGCCTCTTCTGCTTCTTTCAATTCTTCGGGAATTTCAGAAGTTGGTTCTAATTCCTCGGTTGTTGATTCATCCAATTTCTCTGAATCTGGCAATGTTTCGGGTTCATTGTCAACTTGCATATCACTTTCGTTCGTCTGTACTTTTAGGGCAGACATTTCTTCCTCCTCCTCTTCTTCTTCTTCTTTTTCCTCCGCTTGCTCGACTGGTGGTTCTTGAGTTACTTCGGGATTTGTTTCCGCAACTTTGGCAGTTGAATCATCAGTGATTTGATTTGTAGTCTCGGTTGATGGTACATCGGTATCAGTCTCTTTTGGGGATTCTTTTTCTTCGGGTGTTTCACTACTAGTGGCGGGTGGTTCAGTTTCTTGATGATGGTTTTCAGTTTCTTGAGTCTCCTCTTCTTCGGCGGGTGGATCGGCGAAATTCTCGACTACTGGTTCAGTATCAGATTCGGCATCCTTGTTCTCGTCTTCGGATAAAAATAGATCCGCAGCACCGTCAACTTGTGGTATTATGAAATTACCGTCGCCATCGACTTGCATTGGTTCGCCGGCATCTAATTGTGCAACGGCCTCGTTTCCATTGCAACCATCCTCAGCCTTGTCGTCTCTTCCCGATGGATCTTCAGCGGCTACCATAAATGAAATTCCGCCCGATGGCTCTTGAACTGGATCAATTAGACCAGCCTCGGCGGCTAAAGCTGCCAGTGCCGCGTCCGTTGTCGCTGGTCCGTCTGACGTGGTTGCTGTCACTTTTTTAATTAATTATTTATTACAAACAAATCTGAAAATTGTAAAACTATTTTAAGAACTCTACATACCTAAGGAAGCTGACGGTTGTTTCTGCGATGGAACGAACAGCGTTTTACTTGCGTCGATGGTTTCCACAGTACCGGAAGTGGTCACAATTGAAGAACTAGTTGGTACTAGTGTCACTGTTTTAGCGCCGATTCCTCCAGACATTTGTAAAGTCACCGGTTTTCCAGCTACAGTGACAGTCTCCTAAAACAATTCCAATCTCTAAAATCAACTTTTCTCAAAATAAATGAAAAAATATTAACAGGCTTTGCACTCGATAATTAATTTTAAAAAAAGTAACAAAAAGTAGCTTTCAGACTGAAAAAGTAGTAAAAGAGTAGCTATTCGAAAATTAAATTTGAAGACTAAAAAAACATGAGTCTGAAGTCCGCAATGTTTTTAAAAACGATAACAAAAAATAATGTGATAATTTTCTTTATTTTTATTCTAATTCATGTTATTTTTGAGCAATAAATTGTCTCTTATGTAACAATTAATTTCCTATAAAAATTAACTCATATGAAAATTAAAGATGAATTTAACATGAAAAAAATTCCTTTTTGATTCTTCGTTTTTAAAAACGTTGCGGACTTCAGCTTCATAAAAAAACTCGTTTTAGAAAATGATTACTGTGTAAAATATTTCGAAATTTCTAAAAATTACAACTGTAATTCTTCCAAAATCCAATCCAAAATCCAACAAAAATAATTGAATTTTATTATTTACGAAAATAATTGAATTCCAGTGAAAAATTTTATTATTTATGACTTATGAGATTGAATTCTTACAAACTTTTTCGACGAATTTAATTAAAATTTTATTGAAAATAATTCAATTCTTATATAGAATTATATTTAATTTATTGAAAATAATTGAATTTCTGCGAAAAATTGCATTATACTTTTTGAAAATAATTGAATTCTTCACGAGAATTTTTTTATAAAAAATTGTAAATAATTGAATTTTTGCTAAGATTTTTATAACTTTAAAAAATAGTTTAATTCTTATGACAAATATTGTTGTTTATGAAAATAATTGAATTTTGCAAAACAATTTTTATTAAAATTCTTAAAAATTATTAAATTTTTGGAAGAGTTCTGTTTTCTAATCAAGAATAAGATAATTGAATTACTTATTTCGAAAATTTCCCTCGAAGAATTTAAAAAAAATTCTTTTAAATAATTGATTTTTTCGAACAAATTTAATGAAAATTGTATTTTAAATAATTGAATTCCTGTAAAAATTGTATTATTTATGAAAATAATTGAATGTTTGCGAAGAATTTTATTAACATTCTTTTATGAAATTTTATTTAAATAGTAGATATTGAAAAAATTGAATTTAGAAAAATGTTTGAAAGTAATTGATTCGTTTCTAAAAATTTTATTCCAATTTTTGAGAAAAATTTTTTTATTTCAACTTTTAGCGAATTTAGTTGTGCAAATTCTCAAAAAAAAGTAGCTTGTAGTTTAACAAATTGAAAAATAGTATCCAAATAGTATCAAATCGTAAAAAAAGGAAATTTTTCTTAAAGACATTCTAAAAAATGTACTTACGGCATTCTTTTGCATTTGCGGAACAGTGACAATTTGACTCTTGCCGGGATTAAAGAGGGCTTGTTGAGAGCCTTTTGTAGCAATAGTGACTGTTTTGGGAATTCCACCCTGACCTGGTACAGTGATTGTTATTGGTTTACCGGCAGTTCCACCGACCATTGCACCCGATGAGACGACAATCATTTTCACTCCCTGCTGATTGGTGACGTGATTAGCGGCCGACAATGGTAGAACATTGACAGGCGTTGTAATTGTTCCCTGTCCAGCGCCGGCTTGTGCTGTTGTCACGGCTTGAACGGCCCTCAAACCAGAACCAGTTGTTACAACAATAATTTGATTAGTTCTACCCACGAGTCCACCATTACCGCCTGGTTTTGTTATCATTATTGTCTGCTTTCCAGCAATACTTTGACCTTTACTCATTGCAACAATACCGGACGATTTCATTGTGGTGAGAATCTTTGAACCCGCAACTGTATTGGGATTAACGAGTCTCAATATCGTTGGTCCTTGATTAAGGGGTTTGGCACCGCCAGTTGTTGTGACCGTTTTACCAGGAATTAAACTCACTTTTGGCATTGTAACAACGCCCTGTCCGGTTTTTAAGAGATGAACAATTTGAGGTTGACCGGCAATATTTTGTCCTGGTTTTTGTAGAATAATTTGTTTACTTTGTTGCGGTGTGGCGGCGCGTAAAACAGTTGCTCCAGGTGCAGTGAAACGTATTTGTTGACCGGGTTGCACGCCCTTTACGCGAATTGTATTGGTTGCGCTTTGCGGTAAAATTGGAACGTTGTTCATGCTGATTTTGGGTGATGAAGCAGCGGCCGCGGCCAATGCGGCAATTCCTGACATTGCGGCTGGTGTTTGTCCCATGTTTGAAGTGTTGACGGGTGGTGTTTGTTCCGTGGTGGCAGCAATTGTCGTAACTAGTGGCGAACGGATACGAATCACATTGGCGGCGACACGGGGTGTGACGGGACTCGCTGGTTTTGTAATGACAGATGAGGTGATGAGTTTTTGAGTCGGGAATTGAACGGCACCAGTTGCACGAATTCCTTGTGGGATATTTGCCTTCGCGGCCGTGACAGTGCTTGGTAGAGCAGCGATTGTCGAAATTGGAGCTGACGTAACTGGCGTTGTTGGCGCAGTTGTCGTTGTAGGCGTTGGTGCAGCCGCTGATGTTGGTGTTGTAGTCGGAAAAGCGCTACTTGCTGGTGGCATATCGTACTTTTGTATTTGTAAAACATAGTATTGCGCTGACGGTGTTGGATTCCAACTGACTTCCAACGATTGAGTTGAAGCTCGAACGAGTTGTACTCGTGATGGAGCTGGTGGTTTACTTACTTCAAGATACCACAAATCTTTGCAGCATACCTAAACAATTTGCAATTAATTAGAAACAATTTTTGGGGACTTGACAGAAGAAGAAGAAGCAGGGCTCGAACCAGTGAAAATATTTAAAAATACGGACCTTTTTTCAAAAAAACAGACTTTTACGAACTTGAAGCAAATTTACTGACCCTTACGGAATTTACGGACCCAGTTCGAGCCCTGAAGGAGGAAATTGAACATTACCTGATTATTCCAGGCTTTGCGATAACCATCCCTTCCGGACCATACGTATAATCTGCTGTGGACACCAACAGCACAATGTCCAGCACGCGCACGAGGAACGTTCTCCTCAAGCGAATCGACAGTCAATTGCTCCCATGTTAACTTTTCTATTTAAATAGAAAAAAATTTGTTGAAAAATGTAATGTTTATTTAAAGTAATATTTAATTGTATTTAATTACCTAGGTTCAAACACGCAAGAGTGCTAGTGCACTTCCATTCCTTCTCGTGTGTTGCCACTTTGACATCATCGACGACAAGCGGAACCCATCCACCAAATACGTACATCCGATGGCCAATTAACGTTGCCGTGTGTAAAGAGCGAGGCAAAGGAGTTGGACCTTGAACGGCAGGTTTGTTCCAGGTCATAGTGTCAACATCGAGGAACCAAAGATCACCTAATCGACAACCACTCATGCCGCCATAGACGACTAGACATGATTTTCCAGTTTTTTGATCAGTGTAAGCGACACCAGTGTGTGATTCTCTTGGTGGTGGTGCGTGACCATAAGTTTGTGGCACTTCCCAAGCAGTCTGTCCATTGGGTAGAAGTTCCAGAGTATAAAGATCATTCAAATATCTTGGTATATTATTCTTCGGATCATCACTATCGTTCGCTAATCCTCCAAAGAGAAACACCTTATTACCAATTAGAGTGAAACTATGACCAAGTCGTGGACATGGTGGAGGATCATTTTTCGGTGGTCTCGGCTTTAACCTCTTCCATTCCCATCGGCTCGCTTGAAGTTCATACAATTCATTAGAATATTTTCCATATTCTACCATTCCTCCAAAGACTAAAATTCGTGTTCCATCCACGACAAATCCATAAGCCGCACATCCTGGCGGAATATCTCCTTTTGTTGATGGTACAAACCATTGATTTGTTGCTGAAAACAAAATTTAATCCAAAATCAAAATTTCATTTTCAAAAAAATGCATTAAAAAATGAATTATTTAAATTTAAATACTAATTTAATAAATTAGTATTTGAACGAAAAAAAATTGTATTTCACAGGATACATTATTATGTTATTGAATTTCAAATTTTTGAATATCTTAATTTCTATAAAAAAATAATGATTGAATATTTATTTAAAAATGAAGTTATTGATGTTTTCGAATAATTTCAGTTTTAAAAAGCCTGGAAAAATTCCGTTTTTTAACCTGGAAAAGTCAGGGAATTTGAAAAGAGCAAAAGCGTGGTAACCCTGAGGATATGAAAATGTAAAGAAGCAAAAAAAATATTAAACCATACGGCAACAGGCAAGAAATAGAAATCGGAGACCGGACCGGAATATATGTACAAGAGGAACGCCGCGCGTTGCTAAAAGTAGAGTGGGGCAAAGGGCTGCAATGGCCGCTCCCGTACACATAAACATGCAAAATGTCAGGCGATCTCAATGCCTCATATAAATGTCTATCAATGAAATGGAAAATAGAAAAAAAAGAATGCCACAAACAAAAGAGAATGAAATTAATAATTAACAATTATAATGAATAATGGGAAATTAAAGTAATTCGCAAATTGTGCCGGGTATGACCGGTGATGTCCTTGTCAACGCAAGTCGCCATATTGGATCGCGGGAATTGTTCAGAAGATGCGCGCTAAAACTTCTTATGTTAAGAATATTTACCTGTATTGTAGATATGAAGTTCATCGACGATTCCTTCGTTACCCCCGCCGAAAACAACCATAAGATCCTTGATAGCAACCGCTCTGTGTCCATGACGCGGTCTTGGTTGTGGCCCGACAGGATTTGAGATTCGCTTCCACTTTAACATGGGTGCCGCCATAATGACCGTCGATCACATAATTTTTTCATACACCAACCATACTAACACTCCCGCACTAAAACGAACAGTTTCACTTGTTCGGAATGCCGCAATTCGAACAAAAATCACAGAATTTAACAAATTTCACCTTAATTAACGTCTACAATACGTTTCTTAACAAAAATAATTCTAAACTATTATACAAACGCGTCAGAAAACAGTCACTTTCCTTCACTATGCGAAAGGAAACCGTCCGCCTTGATTCTAACCTCTGATTTGTCAAACACAACTGAATTAACTGCAAAATCGAATACAATGTAATAAATTCACAATCAAACAAGACATTATTAATTTTGAAAAAATCTTGATTGAAAAAATACTAGACAAAAATACCTGACAAACATTTATTATCTGGCACTCATCAGTTCTAACGCAAAATGAACATAAAGACACCAATTTATTTATTATTTACTCCTACAATGTTTACAGCACTGTACTGTCACTAGTCAAGACTTGTGTTTCTGGCACGAACAGAAATATATTTTTCAAGTTGCACAACCGTCATATTCTGATAATGATAGGAACTTGGGGAGTTTTGCAACGATGAGGTTAACTGCCATACACTATTATAATGCAACAAAATATTTATTTCCCGAATTCGCATCAAATCAATAAAAACCGCACGCTGAAAATTCACACTTTAATAAACACAAAAAACGTTTGTTGTAAACGCCAATCGACAAAGCGTGATACACAATGCGCTGACCAGAAAATTTATAACACCCATAGCAGAAACAACTAATCAGAAAATGAAAGAGCATTTTGTCCAAATGATCAAAAATAGAAATACACGATTGGTTATTAATTATTTATTCCTATCGTCTAACCAATCAAAATAAGAGATTACTTCAAATTTGAAAACATCAGTGACTGTGAATGGAGCACAAGGTTAATTGACATGAGAATTCGCCCTTAATCTTCACAGCCATTTTTAATTTTTACTAAAATTGAATATAAAAAAATTTTTTTTTGCAATATATAGACAATTTGCATATTTGTAAAAATAACATTTATTAAATTTAAAATCAATTATAGAAACTTTGTAAATTCAACTTCAGCGGCAACAATTGAAAGTTTAAATACATTTTTTTGTCTATAGTTGGTAATACTGGCTCAGTGATAAAAAAACAATTTTGCAAAAAGTGATTTTTAAACTTTTTATTCTTTTTTTAAAACAAAAAATATAAATAAATTTTTTCAATTTTTAATAAGGTTGAATAAACTTAAACTAGCGAAATTATTTCATTGTAATAAATAATATAAAACTATTGATTTAATATATGTTTTATTGAGAGAAGCGAGACAAGAAATTCTATTTGGAACTTTTTTTTCATATGCTTTTATGAATTCGTAGGTTATATTTTTAAAGGAAAAAATAAAAAATGTCGAAAATTAATTCGAAAATTGTTGGAGCAACTTTAAATTTTATGAAGAGAACACAGTTTTCAAAAAGACAAGAATTCTGTCGAATTTATCATTCTTGTCATGCAATAAAGAATTTAACATCAACGTCGAATAAAACAAAACAATTGGGTTATTGCAGCGAGAGTTTATCAAAGTGTTGGAATTGCAAATTTCCCTTTAAATCAGAATTATTTTGTTCAAAATGTAAATCCCTGCAGGAAATGCCGGAGGATTTAACGTATTTCGATATTATTGGAGTAAAAAAAGATTTCGATATTGATAAAAATGACCTACAGAAAAAATACCGTCAAATGCAAAATAGACTTCATCCTGATAAATTTAGCAACAGCTCAGAGGTAAATTGTTTTTAAATTTAATTTTTGATTTTACGAATTAAAAATTATTTTTTTTTAAAGAAATCATTTCTAATTGAGTCTCATGATAAAATTATAGGAAGAGAGGCAAATATCCGAGAAACTTTCTTCGTTGATAAACAAGGCTTATCACACATTATCACTTCCATTACAGAGGGGAATATATCTATTAAAATTGAATAATATAACACTTCCCGAGAGCACAACAAATGTTGATCCAGAATTTCTCATGGATATTTTAGAGAAAAATGAAGAAGTCGAAAAAGCATCTAAAGACGAATCAACAGCTATTAAATTAATTGTAGAAAATAGAAAAACACTAGCCGATTTAACAAAGTAAGTATTTACAGGGTTGCCATAAAAATTCCATTTTCTTTTTCCCTGATTTCCAGAAAAAATTTTGACCTTTTCCCAAACTCTAAAGAATATTATGATTCACTCTAAAAATGATTAGATACTCAAAAAAATGTTCTATTATATTTATTTGCGAATTTGCTTAATTGTAAAATTATTCAAAAACGCCAAATAACTTTATTTTTTAATAAATATTTAATCATTACTATTTTTCGATGGAAATTAAGATTTTCAAAATTTCTAATTTAAACCTTCTTCAAAATAATTCAACAATTTATAAAAATAATATATTATAAAACATAAAGAAATCGATCACTTCACTTTCTTGATGTTTTATAATAGAATCAAAGAATTCTTTAAAATTTCTATTGTTTTGGAAAATAATTGAATTTATGGAAAGAATTTTAATATTTATTTAGATTGTTGAATTTTTTCAAAGAATTGCGTTAAAATTTAAAAAATTGAAACTAATTTCAACAGAATTGAAATTAAAATTTCCCTGACCTGTGGCAACCCTGATTTAATCTATTTTGACTCAACAATTGTCATGAAAAAAAATTATTTTTATTTTTCAGAAATGTATCTGATGCTTTTAAACGACAGGATATTGAAACAGCGAAACAATTGTTAACAAAAATGAGATACTACACGAGCATTGAAACAAGATTGAAAAAAATTAAGCAAGATATAGGAATTGTAGAATAAACAATTTAGAATAATGTACTGTAAATAATAGTTCTCAGTGTAACAACATTCAGAGTTTTATGTATATGAGTAAATTCTCATAAAAACAAAAAACAAAATTGTGATAATGAATTTTTATGTTATTTCAAGAATTTGAAATCTTTCAAGGAAAAAAATAAATGGAAATGTATATAAAGTGAAAAAAGAATTTTTAACTTTTACGATCCTTCGTTATCTATTTTCCACTTTTGAATCCACTGACATATCCTATTAATGTTGCTTTCCATTTGATCCGGTGTATTACTAGTGAGTTCATAAACTATTTCCTCTTTATACGATTCCTTAGCTTCCTCAAGTATAGTTTGAAATATTTCACAATCTATATTGTCCTCTAATTTTTTCCCTTTATAACCTCTTGCAACTAGTCGATCATAGAGAACTGTATTGTCTGTTCTCAAGACAAAAACAATGTCAAACCAACGTTCTGGAAAAAATTCTGCTCCGTGATAATCAACAATTTTTCCTCCTTTCTCCATTAGACCCTCCATAATATCGAGTAACTATTTGACAAAAAAAAAAACACGTGTCTAAAAGTATTAATCGTATAAGAAAAAAATATTAAATTACCTTTTCCTCGTTTAAAATTTGACATTGATATTGTTCATCGAATTCCTCTAGACAATTGTATTGTTTTGCTAAAGAACTGACATCGAGCCACTCTAATTCTGTTCTTGTTGCTAATTTTTCGGATAATTTACTTTTTCCAACACCTGGTGTGCCTGTATAATATTTTATTTTATTAATTTTATTTATAAAACATAACCTTTGTTTTTATAACAAATGTTTATTATTTACCTGTTACTAGAATATTTGGATTTTTCCTCATTGTTGGTATATAAACAATTCTATTTTTTTAAAAGTTGATTGAATTTACTTTTAAAAGCTGTATATTCACTTTATTCACTTGTTTTACTTATTTTTCAATTGTTTTTTTTATTAATTGTTTCGATTGTTTCAAAACAGTCAGAAAAGAAAATAAAGCCGCAACTATAAAGTCTGATACACATACACGAACCTTAAGCTTTGCGCAAGTGGACAATTTTTAATCGACCAATCAGAAGAGAGAGTTCATGAGGCGAGAAGTAATCGATATATCGATCCGCGTTCGATTCGAGACTTCTCGCTGCTATCGCTACTTGGCGATCACACCAATCAGATGCGAGCCGAATTCATGCTTGTTTGGACCTGTATGTACAGTTTGAACAATTTTTTGAGCAATTCATTGTCGTTTGTTGTAAAAAGAATTTTGCTAATAATTTTTGCGTATTTGTTTGACTGTTTTCAGAGTCCAATCGGCGGCCATTGTTGGAAGCGTGCATGCCACGGAAAAGCTCGGGCAACATGATGGAGACGATTTTCAGTCCCGTAGAACTTGGTCTCCTCGTTAATGGTTAAAATCCAAATTGTTCATTTGGATTTTAACCTAGGGGAGGGATCTCCGGGGTATATTGGACTGAAATCGTTTTCATCATTTCACGGAAGGAAATCGGGTAACTTGGTGAGACTTCGTAATTTTTTTTACAACTTTGTCTCAATGATGAATAACTGATCAAACATATTATTAAATCAATATTTTGTCTCTAATTTTTCTATTTTCAGTGGAATTACGAATACTAGTACTTTTTATAGGGATTTTTCGTCAAAAATAATTTTTGAGGTTATAATTTGCAAATTACAAATTTTTCTTTTTCTACTTATATTTCTCAATTTCTTAGGTTATTTTCGTAAATTCTATGACCTTTTTTCGTATTATTAAGTCCAAAAGTAGGTAATATTTTTGGATATTTTACGATTCCTGTCCATATTTGGATCGATGGGTGAATATAGGCGGGGGGGGGGGGGGATTCTAAATCAATAATGTTTATCGAGTTTTAAGCAAATATAAACAAATTTAATTGTTTGTATCTCAAATTTTGTTAAATAAAAGTAAATTTTAACTTTATAATCGTATTTAAAGTAGAAATGTACAAAATTTTCATTGTGCAAAATTAATATTTAACCTTAAAATCGAGCTAAACGTTAAAATCGTTAAAATACACCATTTTTATCGTAAAAAGTAGTTATTAACGTTAAAATCGTGTTTAACATAGAAATTCACAAATTTTATTGACAAAATATAATTGTTAAACATAAATTTAGAATTTAGGAAACATTTGTAATTTGTAATTGTAATTTTGGTATATTTATTGAAAATAAAATTAGACAGTACAGTCGAAGCAAAAATTGTAATTTAATTTTACACTTTTTTCTTATGAAATTAAAAAAAAGTGTATGAATTTCGAATATTTTTCAATAATAGTCGTATCAATTTTTTTTGTTACTTGCTGACGGTAAAATTAATTCGTATAAGGTTTTATTCGATTTGTTAAATTTTAATGGATCAAAATGTTTTATTCAAAGGAATTAAAAAGAAATTTTGTTCATTGTTTGTCAGATTTGTTTTAGAAAAATTTATTATTTTATTACATTTTCAATTTATAGATTATATTTTACAATCGTATAATAATTATTTTCTCTTTTATTTTCAGAGCCGTATCGGGAGAGAAACGGAGTAAAATTTGCAAATTTTGAGAGAATTTTATTTTTTGAATAATATTCGGCTCGCCATAGAAATTGTATTAATTTCGAGTTTTTTATAATATAAATTTTTTTATTCTAAATAATTTTCAGTATATTTTTAACTAAACTCAGTGTTCGGGTTTAAATATTAGAGTTGCGAGTATTTAAATAAAAACTCTAGTGTTGCGAAAATTAAAAAAAAGTGTGAGCATCTGGCAGTCTAAACAAATTTTAATTGCATTCAAGTATTTTAACAGGTAAGAAAACAAAATTATAAAAATCTCTCGTATTTTTGTTATTTTCAAAATTTATTTGTTTAGAATTTAGGAATTTAGTTCTTTCGTAATTTTTATTGGTTCGCAGATAAAATTGCATTTTAAAATCGCTTTTCAGGAGTAAATTTTAACTTTTTTTGGAAATTCGTTTAAATTTTACAGTAATGAATATATTGAAAACGTTATTCAAATACATTCCTCAAATTAATTTAATAAACTATATTATAATTTTTGAATTTTATTACATTTGTTATTTTTTTTACAGGTTTCAAGAAACAAAAGGAGGAATTTCTAAGTGATTCAAGAAAACGTGTTGGCAATTTCCGGATCAGTGCAGCTGAGAGAAAAGGAAATTTCTTCAACTTGTGTCAACTTCTGTCAACGTCTGCCAACTTCTAAATCATAAACGGTTTGTCCCTCTTATTCTCAGTTGGAGATAAGTTGTAATAATTTTTTTTTTAAATTTCCACAGTGATAGGTATGTGGTAATTTGTTTAAAATTATGATTTTAAACAAATTTATTATTTATGAAATTATTCTCATAAATCGGTCAATTTTTCTCTTGTGTGTCAGTTACAATTCTCGTTATTTTGTAACTCAAAATTAATTATCGACAATTTTTTACTGAACATTTTTATAAGCTCTTCGCATTTTTTGAATTGGTATGAGAAATTATTTTCGTTTCAACATTTTTTTAATGCATCTTCGCTGATTTCTTGGCCAAATTTCTATTCGTATTCGTTTTCAGATTTAAATCTGCTTCAACTTCGTTTTTTGTGTGTCAATTTTCCGCTTTGCTTACGAATGTTTTCTTTTTGTGACGAATTTTCAACAAATTTTCGCATTTGCCCCAATATTAATAAATTTTTAGGTATTTTTTTCGTTTACTTTCTTGTTGTTTGTTAATTGAAATTTTCCATTATCATTCGTTCTTGTTATCTTATCACACAAAAATTAATTTTTTTCATTTTTAATTCAACTAATAATTAGTAATTAGTGAATGGTAATTTATAAATTTTACTAATTAAATTTTTATTTATACTAATTTAATAGTAATTAACTACCATTAACGAATTAATGATCTTCTATATTATTTTAATTATTGTCGACTTCAACAAAAATTTATTTGAATAATTATTTAACGATCAAGTTAAATAATCACTGTTTGTTATTAATTTTTAATTACAATTAAATTAAATTAATAATTTCTTTACAATTTGAAAGATAAAGAATACACTTTATTACATATTTTCAAATTTCCCGCTCTGGAAATTTACAATATTACCAGTGAAGAATATTGAAAGTTTCGATGAAACTTTACAATTGCAAAAGTAAATAAAAAAAGAATGCAATTTAAATTGGCGCTGCAATCAGTTGAGCAGAAACAAGCAGAAAACATTGCAGTAAAGAACTGTAGTTTCCAATCTTACCATTCTCATATAACCAAAGTATTTTGGCATTGTAGCCAAGAAGACTAGCGATTTGTAGCCATTTTGTGTGTTGTGGAACCAGCTGTCTTGTGTATATCAAAGTGACTTCCTTATATACGTTTAAAAAACGTGATATGTCAAAGACAGCGATAATTTAATAAAGAAAAAATGCGCAGTGTCAATGGAATTGCGTTAATTGTCTTGAAATAATAAAGATTTGATTGAAACAAATGTTAAATAAGGAATTAAAGATCATTGGCATTTTGTAAAACACACAAAGACATTTCCTTGTCTACTTTTTATTGACCTTGGTCCGATCGTCGTATATACGAGTGAGTATATTATCCTCGAAAGTGGTTAAAAATAAAACCCCTTTTACATTTCAATAAGAAAAAATTATTAGAAATTTATGCTAATTTCTCTTTTGTGCATGCATTTCTGTCTATCACGCTCCTATTGTTTTTTTTATGCAATCATAGTGCGTAGCACATTCATAAAACATGTTGGCAACTATACTATATACTCATCACAATAAGCCTATTAAACATTATTATTTGATTATAAAATAAAAACTAACTTAATTTAATTAAAATGACAATTGAAAATGTATATTATTTTCTGTTAAAAAAAAGTTTTAAAGCTGGGGATGTTGCTTGGTATATATAACTTTCTCTCGAATTGAAAGGGACATACTTTAAACGTCAAAATGGAATAGAGGTCATAGCACTTGTAAAATTCAGTGAAAAATAATTCTCACATGTATCCTATAAATAGTCTAAAAAAAAAACAAAGTTGGAAATTTTTCTTTTCTTGTATTTTTCAATCAGTTCGACAAGATTTTTAATTTAATCTGTTTCTTCAAATGTTTATTTGTATTATTTGAAATGCTCATGTTTAATTTATAAACCGATTCGTAATCGTTTAATTGGGAGTTAAAAATTCATAAAAGTCAATTTAATGAGAAAACTTGTTATGTAACTGGAATATTTTCTTTTCAATTTATGGTGAATTATTAATTAAAAGAAAAAAATGTTGAATATAAACAAAAATAATTATAAAAATATTTTCTTTTTTCTTAACCTCTGAAAGTTTTTATTTTTGAACATTTTCTAATTCTACTTATTACGATGATTATGCAATTTTTTTCACATTATTTCGACATTTAAAGATATTTAGAAGAAAAAATCTTTGGCACATGACGAGTAATAGTTTTAAATGTTTTTATGTATTGTAATATGAGTAATATGTTTATGCCTGTTTTGTTATTACTCATTCTTACAAATATGTATCTAACATTTACTATATATTTATTTGTCGGCTACGAATTCTATAATATATTTAAAAATGCATAGTCATGTACAAATTTAACTTCCTGGGAGCCATTTAAAATCTGATTCACACTGATCGTGATATTACTACGTCACATTTAGGCTTTAAATTTATTTCCGAATGTTTTTTTTTATAGAATCTTTTTTTAGAATATAATTCTATTTTGTTTTTTTATTTTTTCTTATAAGGAAAATTTATCGATTTTGTCATTTTTAAGGGAAATTAAATATACTTCAAGTTTCTTTTTTCTATTTATTATTTATTGATAATAATTTATTTGAGTCTAAAAAAGTAAAACGTAAAAAGATTCATGTAGGAAACGTTCTTTACATTTTTTATGTTTCACTTCACTGATAGTATTGATTAATTGATAATAAAAATCGTTGATATTCATGAAATAAAGACGAAACTTTACGAGAGAGAAAACAAAAAAAAAGTGCACGTGGTTTTTTTTTGGTATTTTTTAAATCAATAAATCCATATTTTACAAGAAGAGAAAAATTTCCAATTTTCTAAAAATTGATAATTTGAATAATTTTTCTTTTTTGAAAATAAAAATCTCTTACAGTTCTTATTAAAGTCTTTTAGTTTTTATTAATCTCTTAAAATCCAGATTTTTTAAAGTTAAAAAAAGATTTGAAATATTCTTGTTTTAGGTATATCTTTGTGTCACTTTTGTTTTTTCTTTTTTGCGTATTTTATAAAATCGACCTTCGTAGTATATTTTTTGTATTCCAATTCAGTCGACTTCCTATTTTAAACTCTGGTTTTCAGTTTAAAAAAAATATTTATTACTTTTCGAGACAAATAAAATATAAAGAAAAAATTTTTGTTTTTAATTAAAAATGCTTTTTATTTCATTTTATGTATTTCAATTTTATATTATTTATTTTATTGCTAATTAGGGTGCATTCATATTTCCTGAAGTTAATTACTTAGAATTTACAAAAAAATTGAAATTTTCTTTTGTTTACTAATATTTCTAAGTAACTAAATTTATTTAAATATTAAATTTTCTCTACTGATTCATTAATTATTATTAAACTTAATTTCTACTAATCGAGTTTTTAAATATTTTTTGAAAAAGAAAATTTAATTATGTTGGTGAAGTTCAAAACGTTTTTTAAGAACAATTATTTAGAAAGAAAATATTTTTCTATTAAAATTTTTGTCTGGAAAAAATTTTTACAATATTTTTTGATTAATAACTTTATAAAGAAAAAATTGTAAACGAAAAATGGTGTTATTTTCTGCATGAGAAATATATTTTTCATCCAATTGTTAATAAATGTGAATTTCATCCACGTATTTTATTAAATTTAAACAAAGTTGAAATTCTCAATGTTGATCTTAAAGAAAAAAATTTGTTTAAAATATTATATTATTTTTAACAAATATACAACAATTATTGTTGAAATATACATGAAAATCTTCCTTTTTTATATATTTTTGTGTTAAATTATTGCGTTTTTACTGAATAATATACTTTTTAAACAATTTTTTCGTTGATAAAATTTGTGCACTTCAACTGGCGGTTAAATTGAATAAAAATTACTTTAAATAAACTTTTTGTTAAATAATAATTATATAAATAGAAGTTAAATAAAAAATTTATTAGATATACTGTTATTAAATAGAAATTTTGTTAAATGAAATGAAACGCTATATAAAAAGTCTTCTAAATTATAAAATTGGTCAAAAAAAAACGTGAGTGAATTTCATAACGTTAACGATCAACGATTGAGAGAAAAAAGTACTTTTTATGCAGAGAACAATATTTTTTGATTACAAGTTATTCTTTTTTAAAAATGGTTGATCAGAAAATATTGTAAAAAACTTTTTTAGATAAAAATTTGAAAACTAAATCTTTGATTATAAACATTGTAAATTTCACCAACGTCAAAAAAACCGATATTTTTAATTTTTATTAACTGAGAATCGTAAATATCGTAATTTTTGATAAATAATAATAATTTGAATAATAATTTGATAATAATAATTTGAATAATAATTTGATAATAATAATTTGAAAAATAATTTTAATAAATAATGTTCCTAAAGTTCTAAACGTTAAAATGAACGAAATTTATTTATTTGTTCTTTAATTAAAATTTTTATTACAATAATTTTGTATGAAATTGAAAAAAAAGTTTCTAAATGTTTAATTTAGTTTTTTAATTTTTATTACAGCCAGAATTAAATGACAATATTTGTAATGGAAAATATTTCGTTCATTTGAAAGTTCAAAACTTGTGAATCATAATAAATAATAATAAATAACATTATATTTTATTATTTTTTATTAATTATTAATTTTGACTGTTGCTAAGGAAAAATTAATGCATCTGTAAATAAGAAATTTTAAATTTCTGAAGTGTTAGTAAATCTTTATTTTCAATTACAAATTTGCAACTCGTAGTAATAAAATATTTTTTAGTATTTAAAAAGATTTTTCTAAATTTATAACGTTGGTGAAATTCACAACATTATATTTTATTAATTTTTATTAATTATTAATTTTGACTGTTGTTAAGGAAAAATTAATAAATCTGAAAATAATAAATTTTAAATTTCTGAAGTGTTAGTAAATTTTTATTTTCAATTAAAAATTTGCAACTCGTATAGTAATTAAATATTTTAATAATCAACGATATAGAAGGAAAAATATTTTTCTATTGAAATTTTGATCTAAAATAATTTTTTACAATATTTCTTGATAGGTATTTAGAAAAAGGAATTTGTAAACAAAAATATTATTTTCTAGATAAAAAAATTTTTTTTTTTCCTAATCGTTGATCGTAAACGTTGTGAACTTCACTCATGTAATTATTACTCAAAAGGATCAAGAGAATAATTTAATTTTTGTTTGTTTGAAAATTAATTTTTAAATAAAAATATGTTATACAATTTTTATTTTATATAACAAGCATTCTTGGGAAAAAAATTAGTCTCTCTCTTTCTTTTCTTTTCTGTTTCTTCCTCTCAGTAAATCCTCCTTGTAGATTGACTCTTCTTAGACAGATTAAAAAATACAGAATTTGTAACAAATCTTTTTTATTTGCAGTATTCTAGTGTAAAAATTAATTAAAAAAAAGGCAAAAGGATGAACGAGGAAAATGAGCAAAGTGAAAAGAGTGAAAATATGGATAATACACCAACATTTCACTCCCTTCCGATATATATTAATTCCCATAAGCCTTGTGTCAATTTGTGGATGGAGAAAATGAATAAAGGTTCATTGACTTTATCGAATTTAAAAGAACATTGGAGAGTTTGGGTACCCAACATTTACAGTCCCGAGGCAAATGATGATTGTCTCGATTGGAATTTCGATGAGGATACAGCGAAAAAAATGTTATTTAGTACACTCGAGGAATTTATATGTAATGGCGAGCCACAGGTTGTTTTAAAATTATTAAGCGAATTGGATAATCCACCATCGGTATGTGGACGTGTTTTAAAAATGGGTGAACCAACGTATAATTGTCGTGAATGCGGTGTCGATTCAACATGTGTATTATGCCTCGATTGTTTCAAACAATCGGCACATCGTAATCATAAGTATAAAATGGGAACATCACCAGGTGGCGGTTGTTGCGATTGTGGCGATACTGAGGCGTGGAAAAAGGAACCATACTGTAAAATTCATTTAGCTGGAATACAAGCACGTGAATCGGGAGCACGTAAATTACCGCAGGATGTTATTGATCGTGCTGTTTTTATATTCGAAGCGGTCCTAAAATATTGTTATGAATTATTATCAATGGAACATACACCAGGTCTACCATCGGATCTATCGCTGAATGACACTGATGAGAATCCCCTGGGTCTATTAGCGACAGCCGATACATATTGCACCGTTCTCTACAATGACGAGATACACACTTTTGATCAGGTCATCAGTACTCTTACTCGAGTGATAAAATGTACTCAACGTGATGCCATTGAATTTGTCACTAATATTGATCGTGAAGGTAGAACCGTTATTAAATGCTCCGGTTTTTTCCACTGTAGTGAATTAAAATCAGAAATTGAACGTTTCATGACAAGAAATAATAATCGACCGTTAAAAGTTCTTGTTGTACATGCACATGTAATAGCACATCAAATATTTGCCATGAAATTATTAAGATGGTTACAGGGTTTTATTAGTCTTTGCGAAGGTTTTCGAATATTGTTCAGTAATATTGCGTTGAATACAAAATTACCAGAGATTACAATTGTTGAAGGTATTTTAATGAGGGATTCACAACTTTGGAAATCGGCGAGAACGGCTTGGCATAAATTGTTTATTACTGGAATGTTGATGGAATATGAGAGTAAAAAGGCGTTGGCAATTGTTTTTACACAGAGATATGGTTCGGTGATGAAAGATTTTATTCGTGATGATCATGATCATTCGTTTTCGATTGTTTCATTTTCGGTACAACTCTATACGACGCCAACATTGGCGCATCATTTAATAGCGCATCATGATGTTTTGTTTATTTTATTCAATACGTTCATTTCGGAGAGTTCGAGGAAATGTAATGCAGCTGGTAAACTTGAATTTGAGAGAAATTCACCTAATATTCCCTTTAAGAGGGCGCATTTTATTCTTTATGATTTGAGATATTTGTTGAGTGTGAAACCGGATACTTGGACTGATGAATTGCGAAGGGGATTTTTACAGGGTGTTAATTTGTTGTTGACACTTTTGTGTAGTATGCAATCGATGGACGCGGTTGTTAGACAAGTTGGACAGCATATGGAATATGAACCGGAATGGGAGTCGGCTTTTAATCTTCATATTAAATTGTTTCCGGTTGTTAGTCTCGCTTTGGAGTGGTGTGGATCGGATAAGACGGTTTTGATAAAGGCTTTTCGATTGGTTTTGAAGAAACTTTATGAACAACCGGATAATGGACGTTCACAGGTGAGGGAATTGGCTGATCATAGTACTTCTTGTATTCAGTATGATGTCTCGTCGGAACCAGTGTCGATACACTTGCCTCTTTCACGTTTTCTCGCTGGACTGTTTCTCTATCTGGAGCAGTATGATCTTCATTTTCAAAGTCCAGAATTTGCGATTCCAACGAAACCGACTCCGGAGCAAATAATTGAACCAGTATTAAGAGCACAGGCGATGATATCACAAGTACATGCCGGTATGTGGCGACGAAATGGTTATTCGCTCATCAATCAACTCTATTTCTATCATAATGTGAAATGTCGAACGGAAATGTTAGACAGGGATATTATTTTACTTCAGGCTGGGGCGGCACTTATTGAGAGTAATGAATTTTTGATATTGATTCTAAATAAATTTAATTTACTCAATTGGGCGGATCCTGAATTTGAGATAAATACGTTGAGAAATCCGGAGGAGGACAGTATTAGGCAGACTATTAATTTAGTGGAGGAATTTTTGGGATTGTTGAATACGATTATTGGGGAGAGACACGTGCCTGGTGTTGGGGAAGTAACCGAGGACGATCGTTTGAGGAAGGAAATAATTCAGCAACTTTGTATTAAACCCCTATCGCATTCGGAACTCAATAAAACATTGCCAGATGATGTGCATCATGAAACGGGAATGGAGAGAGTGATTGACGATGTGGCGAATTTCAAGAAATCGATTAAATTATCCGGGGGTAAGGGATTGTATAAACTAAAACCTGATCTTTACTCCGAGTACAATGTGTTCTTTTATCATTACACCAAGGAGGAACTTAGTAAATCGGAGGAGGAGCAGAGAAAACGTCGTAAAGCTGCAGGAGAGCTGGAATGTTGTCCTCCGCCAAGATTGCCGAAATTAACCGAATCGTTTAGTTTAGTGGCGAATTTATTAAAATGTGATGTGATGTTTCATATAATGGAGACAGTATTGTCGAGAGCTTTGAATTTACGAGCGAGAAGTTATTCTGAACCACAGGTGCACAAGATACTTCATCTGATTGGTTACGCATTGCAGGAGCAGGAGTCCGGTAATTATGCATTTTTGAATTTCACCAGTCGTGCCACCAAGTGGAATATTTTGAAATATTTGGAAGAATTGTCGAGTAGTCCACGTATTGATTCACATGCCGATTTACTCACTTGGGTTCTGGGTAAATATCGAGAAGTTGCGGGTGTTTCGGAGAAGGAACCAGTGGCGACGACATCGACATCAACACAGCAGACGGAGGAACCTGAGAAGAATGGTAAAGAATGGAGAACGAAAATGGCAGCGCAGAAACGGGCGAAAATAATGGCACAAATGGCAGCTATGCAGAATCATTTTTTGAAGAAGAATGCGAAATTATTTGAGGAAACGACACTTGATATTGATAATAGTGAGATTAAGGGATCGCCAATGGATCTGGTGGAGTGTACACAGGACGCGATTGTTGCATTGGGACCTAATCAGACAAATCGATTGTGTGACAAGAAGACGGATACGTGTATTCTCTGTCAGGAGGATCAGACAGTGACGGCAACGGGTTCGGGGCTACAGGTCATGGTTCTAGCTGCTTTCGTTCAACAATCGACTGTTTTGTGTCAAAATCGGGATAATGCTGTGGAACCTGATCCCCTTTATTTGTCAGCGAATCTTGGAGCTTCGCCTCATACTCGTACGTGTGGTCACGTAATGCACGCACTCTGCTGGCAGAAGTATTTCGAAATTGTCTTCAACAAGGAGAATAGACGTCCGTATCGTTTGAGACAGCCCTCGAGTTTCGACGTCGATCAGCTGGAGTACCTCTGTCCACTTTGCGAATGCCTCAGTAATACTATATTGCCATTGATGCCAGCTCTCGGTCATCTACAACCATCCATTCAGCAACCGAATCTAACTTTTGAAAATTGGTTGAACGCTTTGAAAATAACACTCACTTGTAAGGGTCAAAAGAATTCTTCTGTGGAAAATGTGCACGATCCAACGTGTCGTTATTGTTCGGTAGCAATGAAACAGGGATCATTGGCAGAAGCCTCATCATCAGAGGGTGAAACATTCTCGTGTCCGGTGCAGAAGGTAATCGATCAACTTGGCGACGATGGAGTGGCATTTCAGTCGCTTTATTCGAAACCCGGACCAAGTTTGTCGGAACATTTGATGTCGATGATTCATACATTTGCCGAAGCGACCTACACGAAGGGATTGAATGTCCGTGAGGATGATAAGGATCCAAGAGTGCCGCTTCTCGCTTGGAAATCGACGGCGTACACTATTCATGCGATTGAATGTCTTTTGAGAGAAATTGATAAACCTTTACTTGGTGCTTTATCGTCTAGACAGAGGGACAGTTTGGAGGGTTTGGCGAGAATATCGGCAGTAATGGGTTCGACACGCACCGATTTTCCCACAAAATCCGAGAGTTCAAGTAATGATATGACTATTGCTAATCATGCTCTGGCTTATTTATCGATTCTTCTGGACAGTACGCAGGACGGTGTTTCGATTTATGATTGGGATCCTTTTGGTCTTTTGGTTGGACTTGTTAATTCACTGCCAAGTTTGTTCAACACTAGAATAAATGAGAATCCAACAATTCTAACGGGAGGAATAGCGGAACTTTATGCATTGAAACTCGTCTTTATTGCATTGATTGTGAAAATTTTACTAACGACGAAATTCGAAGAGAGTGAAGTGATGGATGTTGATGGACAATTGTCGGATGATGATTGTAAGTCGATATTGAAAATGGCTGAAAATATGCAGATAAAGGTTGGTAGTCAATCGGCAGCTGAATTATGGAGGCGAGTGAAAATCGCCTGTTTACCATTCTTGAGATGTTGCGCATTATATTTTCATTATGTGACTGATGTACCGGCTTTGATTGAATTAACATGCGAGGGTGGCGATACTTATGAGAATATTTGTAAATATCTTGGACTTCCGACAACTTGTGACAAATTATTAGATTCGGATGTTGTTATGCAATTGTCGAAAGTATGGTCCGATCGTCCTGACGTTAAGGACGAGAGGATTAAGGATGTTGCCATTAAAGAACCATTGAGAGTTAATAAATTGGTCGATCTGCCGGATGATTATAGTGAGCTGATCAATATGGTATCATTGTTCGCATGTCCAAATAGTGATCGTGAAGATTCGCGAAATCCAACAATGTGTTTAGTTTGTGGGGCAATGTTATGCTCGCAGAGTTATTGTTGTCAGACTGAATTAAATAAAATGATGGTCGGTGCTTGTTCATATCACGCAAGTAAATGTGGATCTGGTGTTAGCGTATTTTTACGTGTACGCGAATGTGAAATTCTCTATATGAGAAGTCCCAATCGAGGATATTTTGCATGTCCACCTTATGTTGATGAATATGGAGAAACTGATCAAGGTTTACGGAGAGGGAATCCAATGAGACTTTGTCGAGATAAATATAAACAATTAAATCAACTTTGGTTAGATCATGGACTTCATGAAGCCATTGCAAGAGCCATTGAATCTTCCAGTAATCTCATGTCAACACAATGGCATCATCTATAACTGTTTTAGTGATCATTACAAATTTTAGCCTGGACGTTTTAACCAAAAAATAATATTTAAAAAATGGAAGAGAAAAATTTATGATTAGTGTAAGTAACTGAAGTAATATATCAATTTTTTCACAAATACACCGAAAAAGAATATTTTTCAAATTGGAGAATTTTTATCTTCTTCTTGTTGTTCTGCTTTTTTTGCACTGAAGTATTGCCAATTTAAATTTCTTCTTTTTGAAAAATTCAAGCACAGTGAGAATGAAAATTATTTAATTCATAATTATTTCTGAACTTGAGTCAGATTTATTTTTCTATTCTTTATTTTCAAAAAAAATTACATTTCAATTAAAGAATTTTTTTTTTGTATTTGAAAATTAATTATTTATTTTATATTATTTATGAATTTAAATGAACTTATTTTTTTTCAATGATAAATTTTTTATTATAAAAAATGACATTTTAAGTAAAGAAAATTTTTTTGTATTCGAAAATAATTGTTTATTTTTATATTATTTATAAAATTGAAATTGAATGAAATTTATTTTTTCTTCATTGATAAATTCTTTATTTTGAAAAAAATGATATTTCAATTAAAGAATTTTTTTTGTATTTGAAAATAAATTTTTTATTTCATATTATTTATGAAATTAAATGAAAATTTTTTTTCTACTGATAAATTCTTTACTTTGAAAAGAATGACATTTTAAGTAAAGAATTTCTTTTTGTATTCCAAACTAAATTTTGTACGAATAAGAAAAATTTTGTTTGTAGCATAAAATAATTTTGCTTCGAAGCAACAACTTTTCCTTTTTTGTATAAAACATATTTGACTTATGAAAAATAATTTAAAAATTGAAACACAATTTAAAAATTAAAACAATTTCAAAATTGAAAACTAATTTTTAAGTTGAAACATTATTTAAAAATTGAAACATAATTTAAAAATTTAAACTTAATTTTAAAAATGAAATTACATTTTGAAATTGAAATTTGATTTTAAAATTGAAGCAAAATTTCATAATTGAAACATGATTTTAAACTTGAAACCTAATTTCAAAATTGATAAATATTTTTATATTTCGAAAAACATTTTTATAAAACGAAAAAATTTTTCATTTATTGCTAATTATATATTATCTTTAGGATTTCTGTGAAATATTTTTCGAATTTGAAAAATATTTTCAAAATTGTTGTTAGTGTTCGTAATTAATGTGGTCTTCAGGTTTTATTTTAAATATTTTGAGAATTCGAAAAATACTTTTAAAAAATCGAAAAATTCTTTTCAAAATTCAAAAATAGTTCTTAAAATTCAAAAAATAATTTTATTTGTTGTTAAAATTGGTTTTAGCGTCTCTGTGATTTTTTGTTGTCTTATTTCTAAAATTTGAAGAATTCTTTTCTCGGTGTAGATTTAGAAATAGTTTTTTGGCAAATTCGTTAATTTCTTTTATATATTTCAGCGCTTGATGTTACCTCTATGACTTGGAAAAAAAGGCGCAGGAGGGAACTGAAAAGTGAATAAATCTGATTGTTATTTCTTTTTTTTGGTTAGTTTTTTGTCTTGTAACTCTTTTTTTTTCTTCGAAAAAAGGAAAACGTCGATTACAGAATTACTACCAGTGATTATAAAAACATTTGGATTCGCTTTGCGTCCACTTTGTGATGTAAATTCATATTATCGTTACAAAGTTTCAAATTCTTTCAAGAGTTTACTCAACTTTTTATTGTGTGAATTTTTAGATATAAATCCATTTACAATTTACTAATCAAAAAGAAAAAAAGGAAAAAAAAAGTTTCGTGATTCGCAAACAGAGGCATAGCTAACGAGAACTTCGGGTATCATTTATGGCAATAATATTATTAGCTGAAAATCAAAATTTATAGTTTAAGTATTAATAGAATTGTATGATATTATTTTATTAATTCTTTGAATTAATTGAAATTTGTAGGAAAATGTATAAATTGATTTTTTTTCTTGATAAATCCCAAGTGATAGTTTGTTACGCCACTGTGTTTTTTCTTATTAAACAAAAAAAAAAGAATATTAATGCTTCGTTTTTCCCTTAGACAACTAAAATACACCCGTCCACAAAGGATTATGTTATGTATTCTTCGTTACGATTTTGAAAAGAAAAAAAATATTTGACTTTCTTGTTATGCTCGGCAGAGTATTTGAGTTGTTTCGCAATTAAATTTTACTTGATTTCGAATCCCAGAAGTAAAATATTATAGGAGTTTTAGACATTTTTTTTTTTTTTTTTGATCAAATTCATTTTTAATGTCTTTCAACACGATTTTTTTTTTTTTTTTTTGATAAATTTTTTTCTTTAAAGAGAAGTTTCACTATAATTATTGTCGTGTAAACGAAAATGAATTATTGTATTACAAGGAAGATTCGATGTGTAAAATTTTTTATAAAACATAATTGATTCTTTTTAAATATAGGAAAAATTCTCTGTAAATATTAGTCAGTATTTATAAGAACCACAAATTTCTTAGAGAACTTCAATGTTAAAACTTATTTAATAATAAAACGAAAATAGAAAAAATATGTTTAACTCACATGCGATATATATATTGTCATTAAAATGTTTATTGAAATTATTGTATATTATTACTTCCATTATTTTCGATGACGTTTAAGTTTTCTAAGACTTGATAATTATCATTATCAACAATATTTCAAATTGATATATTGTAATTAATTTTAAAAAGAATGTTTTTTTTTCGTTTTTGATTCTTTTTTTTTTTTGATGACATAATTTTTAGTTTTACTTTAAAAGGTAGTTTTAATTTTTTTTTTAGTTTAGTTCGATATTCCTGGTAATTACTCAAAAAAAAGAAATTCTAGCGAATCTTTTTAGGTAAATTAATTTTTTACTGTTCAATGATATTTTGTTTTTTTATAATATTGTACTATTAATATAAATTTATCACTAAGTTGTTATTTGTGAATTGAAAATAATAATAATAAGAAAAAAACTTGTAAAATAAATTTATTAAATATTATCAAGTTTGTTTTTTGTGATAAATGTTTTTTTTTTAAATCAAAGTTTATTCTCTTTAATTTTACGAATGAAATAATTTAACACAAAATAAAGTAAATAAAATAAAATAAATAAATAAATAGATTTAAATAACTTTTCGGTAAATTTTTCTTTCTTATTCTTAATTTTTCCTTAATTTTAGAAATTAAATTTTTAGAAACATTTTTAAAAAAATTTTTTTATAACTTTTTGAAATTAACTTTTGAAAAATTTACTGTGTTGGTAACTTGTCTATTTTATCTGCAGTTGTTTGGCTTTTATCTACAGTTGGTTTTTAATTATCATTGGGAAAAGTAGATTTCTTGGTTTTCTTTTTAATACGTTTATTTACAAATTTAATATATTTAATAAAATTAGGTGACAAAGTTATTGCTAGCTAGTATTGAAAAATTAATTTATTAAAAAATATTTAAAATTTATTTTTGGTTTTTTTAACTGGTATTTAAGCGAAAATAGAATCAACGCCCCTGTGGTATGCTTTCCCAATTTACATTTCCGTACAGCTGGAAATCTATATAAAGGGGCTCTTAATTTTTAAGGATGAAATAAATTAATTTATAGTACAAATATTTTGAACAGTAATTACCAGGAATATTTAAGTAGTAAAATAATTAATAACTAATTAGAATTACATAATTAAATTCTTTTTTCAAAATGAAATGAATAGTGAAGTTAAATTAATTTTTTTTTTGTTATATCGGAATTAAAAAAATTTAAATATAAAAATATAATATTAATACGCTGAAAAATAATTTTATTTGATTTAAATAAACTATTACTTCACTGAAAAAATTGTTTTGTTTCACACAACTGTTAACTTGTATATTATTAAATGAATATTTATTTGTATCAAATAATTTTGATTTATGTCAATTAATGGCATTTGCTTAAAATACTGAAATAATTGGTTTAAGTAAAATTTATTTGTTGTAAAACATGAAGATGACCGTGTGATTAAATCATTATTGATATAATTTATTTGATTTAAATAAAAATTATTTGATTGAAGTAAATTTATTTGATAATTATCAAGTAATCGGTTGCAAATAAATTTTTTTATCTGTGTTGTCTATTATTAAATATCTATATTTGTATATGGAATAATTTTCGTCTATGTTAATTAATTTTTTTGCAGTCCAATTTATTAAGTTTGCTCCAAATACTGAAATTATTGGTCCAAATGCAATTAATTTGATCTAAATAAGTATTATTTGATGGAAGTAAATCTTTATTTGATAATAGACAAGTAATCTGCTATTTGAATCGAATAATTTATTTGACCAAATTCTTTCTTCGAGGGAAAACTTTATTAAAGTGAATCAAATTTCAGTGAAACAAATGTTTATTTAAATTAAATAAATATTTATCTGGTTTAGGCAAATTTTATTAAAACCTAAAAATAAGGCTCGTACATAAAAAATAGAGTATTTGATTCCAACATCATTTTTTTTCTGAGTGTTAGTTTCTGTGGTTCGAATAAAAGTAAAAAAAATACCAAAACCTTTGTCGAAATAAATTAAAAATGATTCAAGTAGTTTTAGTTTAAAATATACTTTAATTTTTGAAGAAAATTGATTTTTTTCTGGGTTTTTCTTATTTAAATTGATGCGCCCGGTGTATATGTAACTCGGGTTTCCATGAATGGAAATGAAAACGTTTTTGATCCTTAGGGATATCGAGACAGAGAGAGACAGAGAGAGATAGGGAAAATAGGGCAAACCAGGTCGTGTCTGGTGTCTGTCCTATTCTTATACTTGAGCCTCAATGTGCCAAAGTACTTGTGTGTCATGTAGGTTCCTTTGTTATGGGATTTCTAATACGCCCTCGCATCGAGTGATACGATAAGCGAGCTGAGTGGTACTCTTGGTGTTGAAGCTTCGAAATTAATTCTGGAGAAGAACGCCCTTATAATACTCATACTTCCTCTCTTCTCTATATATATTTATAATATATATTCTCTCTACAAATAGATAGCAATAGCGTGAATATAGGTGAATAATATGTATATATGTTGTTTCCTGAAGAATTGCCAAATAATTGTTATTATAAAGTTCCTAAATCAGAGTTTCTCATTTTGTATTGTTGTAGTAATTGTGTGAATTAATATTTTTTATGGTTCTGTCCCAGAAAAAAGAAGTTTAATTTAATAGGGATTTTTACTTAGGATTAAGTTAATTAATTAATTAATTATTTAAATTAACATAATACTATGTCACCGAATTGTTATTTAGAAGAATTCACTGCAAAAAGTTAAAGTGCTTTGAGATTTTTCTTTGACACTGCAGAATTTCTGTACTTAACCTACTTAACTATTGTTTAATTTCAAATTATTTTAATTACACTTAGTTTTAGGCTTGCCCAAAATTCATATTAGAATACTTTTAATTTTGAAAAATTAAATTTCTTTTAATTCAAATGAATTTTACTTTGTTCAAACGAATTAATAATTATCTTAAATATATAAGAAATTGGTGTTGGTTTAAATTTGAAAAAAATCAAGTGAATGTTCTACAATTAACCATGATAATTTAAATAATTTAAAAACTGAAAATTTAAAACTTGTAAAAAAATGAAAAAAATTAAAAGCAATTAATATTAGTACCTATCTAATTTATATATTTACAAGATTTTCTCTTAAAAAAAAGAAAAAAAAAGGTTTTACGATGAAATGTTATCAATAAAATTGGCTATAGTTTTACCTCATGAAAACAATACAGAGTACATTTTGGAAATAAAGCTTCTTTATTCTTTGTTTGTTTCTATTTAAAGGGTTTCTTATTGCTTCTTACTGAAGCTTTTACTCTATCGATAAAATTCTCGGTGAAAGGAATAGTTAGAATTCGACGCTCCTTTTGTTTCTTTTTTCTTTCTTTTTTTCCACCTCTTTTCTTTACCCCTTTCTCGATTTCCTCACCGGAAGTGACTGGAAGTCTTCCGCACTTTTCTGCTTACCGCTTTCTCTCTTTATTTTTCTTTTTGTCCTTTCTTCATCCCTCTCGCTCTCTTTCTCTTTCTCCTTCTTCTTCTATTTCTACTTGCCTTTTTTTTCTTCTTTCTTTTTATTTCTGTAAACTCTCTTTTTCTGTGGTTCCTTTGAGGGTTGAAAAAGCGAATTTACAAATATACGAGAAACGACTTCTAAGAAGAAAGGATTACGAGTCAATAGAGAGTGTTCAATGTTCATGTGTATTTACGCGGTGCAAAAGATAGAGGGGGGAAGAGAAAAAAAGAGAGAAAGAGAGTGAGGGAAAAATAAAATAGGAAAGAAAAGGAGATGGACAATTTAAGAGATAAAGTATCAGAAGAGCTTAAATAATCAATCGACAAGGCTGACCAAAGGCAAAAGCCAGTAAGGATTGAATAGGTAGTGTGTAAAATGCTTGTAGTACTTTTACTTTTATTTCATTTTCAATTCCCTAGACGATTGAGTGAATAGAAATCCAATTTGTTGAAAAAAAGAGTTAAAGATCGAATTATTTTCATGGATAAAAAGTATTTTTTTGGTAGTTTAGTTTTTGTGTATTTAAGTGCGAAAAAAATGGTTATTTATTATTGTTTTCTGTTGACAAATTTGTTTATCGATTCTTAATTTCGTTTCTACTTGGAAGTCTGATTAAGTATCCCGTCTCTACTTACAAGGTGAAATTTATAATAATGATTTTTTCGCCTTATATATAGAAAAATACTGTTTGACTGAATATTGCTGTTCCACTCAAAATGTGAATTTTGTTTAACTATATTGTCAAAACAATTTTTTGTTTTATTAAGAAAATTACTGACTGACTTAAAATGATTTTGCTACTTAAATTACACGTTGCCTGACTGAATATTTCTGTTCCACTTAAAAAGAGCATTACATCAGACTAAATGTTATTATTTCTTCTTGAAATATGAATTTTGTCAAAATAATTTAATGCAAAAAGTAGAAGATTATTTAAAAACTCAAAACAAATTTTTTCTGAATTGGAAATAAATTCTAAAGAAGTTCTGAATACCTCTGTGTTTCGAAAAAAGATCTTCTTTAAGAAAAATACTTCAATTTCATGAAAAAAAAACCCTATCGAAAAATGACTTTTTTTTAATCATCCGTTTTGACTCATCCTACGTTTTTCTAGCTCGTTCTGCAAAGCACCCTTTTTGTGCGAATAAAGAAAAATTATTTTTTTTTGCTTTTTTTGCAAATCGTGACAAAAATAGGCTTTTTTAAATTTTGATGACTCAGACAATTATTGGAATTGTTCAAGTAGTAGTTTAGGACCAGTCAAAAATTTTATGACTAACAAATATCAGTAAACAGTAGATAAAGTTCGCTCAAAAAATAATTTTTCATCTTCTGCTGATTATCGGCTGTGGTTACTTTTTATAAATTGTGAATTAAATTAATTTTGATGACTCAGACAATTATAGGAATTGTTCAAGTAGTAGTTTAGGACCAGTCAAAAATTTTATGACTAACAAATATTAGTAAACAGTAGATAAAGATCGCTCAAAAAATAATTTTACATCTTCTGCTGATTATCGGCTGTGGTTACTTTTTATAAATTGTGAATTAAA